ATAAATATTTCTTATAGGCAGTTTATATATTGCAGTTATTTCCCTTGTTTTTATAAGTTGTTTTTTATAGTAAGTAGTATTTACTGCTAATATACCCCCTTAGCTATATATTAAATATAGCTAGGTAAGTTATAATAAGTAGGAAATATAAATAAAAGATAAATAATAAGTAATAAAGATAAATAAAATAAGTAAAAAAATAGATAATAAATAGATATAAATAGATAAAAGTAGATATAGCTTATATAGCTAATCTGTTGAATTTTTAATAGCTTCTTCAGCTAAAATAAGGCCTTTAATATTAGATGAAGCCTTTAATATTAAATAGGCTTAGCTGTTATTTAAAATTATAGAATTTTTGCTTTATAAGGAGTTTTGTAAGGCTGTTAGCAGGCATTTCTAAGGTTTTTAGGTATTTTATATTAAATTTTCCTTCTTTATAGGCCTGCCTTATCTAGGCATGTTATATATATTAATATGCCTTAAGGCTATTTTAACCCTAGAAAGGTCTAGAGTAACTAGCCTTATAGTTTAAAAGTTATTATAGTATATAGTAAGTTTTTTAGCTTTTAATTTTAAGCCTAGTTAAGTTATAAGCCTTAAAAAAGCTATAGTTTCTTTTGTAATAGCTAAAATAGCTAGTAATTTAGCCTCTATAAATAAAGTTGTTATAGTAGCTTATTTAGTTGCTAACTATATAATAAAGGCCTTAAATAGTTAAATTAAAAGGCTCTAGGTAGATTTTCTAGAGCTTTTATTATTAGTATAAGCTGTATCTACTAATATAGATAGCTCTACTATTAAATTTCTATTAATTTAAATAGCTAGGTTTTTAGTATTATATAAATACTTTATAACCTTTATAGCTAATTCTATATATATTTTGCTTAAGTTAAATAAGTATTCTACTAGCTTAAAGCAAGCTATAGCTATATCTAGCTTAGTCTAAATACTAGCGTAGTTTATAAAGCTAATTAAGCTCTAAAATTAATATATATTATTAGCTATTGCTTAGTCTATATTAAGCTTAAGGTCCTCATTAATAATAAGGTTTTTATAGTAGGGAATATTCTTTAAATTTATTAAATTAAGAAATTTTACTGCAATTTTATTAATATAAAAGTCTTAAAATAGCTAGAGCTTTTAGTTAGCTTAGTCTTAAATAATTTGTATGCTTAGAAACTATTTTAAGTCCTCTAAGTTCTTTATTTTATATATTTCTTTAAGTCTTTTAATAAAAGTAGTTACTTTATTGTTATAAGCCTTTTTAAAGATAAAAACTATATTATTAATATAGATAAATATAGTTATTTTATTATTAGTAAAAATATAGAGCTCTTCTATTAGTTATAGAAGCTCTATAAATATAAGAGTTTTTAAAAAGTTCTTTTGCTATAATAAAGGCAACCTTCTTAAGCTATATAAAGCTCTTTTTAGCCTTAGTACTTAATTAGGCTTTTTAAAGCCTCTAGAGTACTTTATATAGACTATTTTATTTAAAAAGCTGTTTATAAAAGCATTTATAGCATCTAGCTGTATAGCTTCTAGGTTAAATTTAGCTAAAATAACTATAATAAGCCTAAAGCTTCTAGCAGCTAGAGTAGCTATATAAGTATCTTTTTTATTATAAGGTTGCTAATTCTCTCTAATATATAATCTAGCTTTTAGCTTAACTAAATAGCTAAATTTATCTAGCTTATACTTAAAAACTTAAGTAGTATTTAGAGCTTTAAATATAGTAAGATTTTCTTAAATAGGCTTAAATGTTTCTTGCTGCTAATTTATACTAAATTCTTATTTAGCAGCTTTTTAAAATCTCTTGCTAAATCTATAGTGCCTTAAATCTAACTATTTTAGTAGTTCTAGGGGCAAATTTAATATATATAGACTCTCTTTAGCCCCTTAGAAAAAGCTGCTTATATAAGCTTGCTTAGTTAGCTCTTTAGCTGCTAGCACTAGCGCTATTTCCTAATTTAGTTTAGCTGCATTGCTAGCTTAAATTATATTGCTGGCTTAATTAGCTATATAATATAATACTAAGCTTAAATAGCTAAATTAATTTGTAATATTAAGTAGTTGCTTAGATAATTAATCTTCTAGTTCTAGCGGCTCCTTAGATAATAGTTAATTCAGCTAAATAGAGAGTTTTTCTATAGATATTTAACTAGATAAAGGTTCTTCTAATTAAATAAGCTCTTAAAGGTGTATAAAATTCTTATATTTATCCTTATCTTTAATATAAGCTAGTAGATAGATTTCTATCTAGCTTTTAATAAGTTTAAAGCTCTCTATAAAGTAAATAAATAACTTATTAAAAGTTATATCTCTAACTCTTCTAACTTTATTACTTTAACTCTTCTAACTTTATTACTAGAAAGTACTTAAATTTAGTATATATTTATTAAATTATAGCCTACTAAATAGCTTATTTTAGCGTAGAGTTTTATTTTTAAAGCTTGTTTTTAGTAACTTTATATAGCTTGCTTAGTAAGTAGATAAGCCTTATAACTATAAGCCTTTAAATACTTTATATTAAGTTTTTAATAGTTAGTATAGCTAGTATCTAGCTTATTTTTAGCTAGATAAGAACATTTAGCAGAGGTAGTTGTTAAAGTTATAAGCGTTTTTAAGTTATAAAAGCTAGCTATAATAGTATTTTTAGAAGGTTTATTATATTTAATAACTAACTAATAATATATCTAGCTTATAGTAAAGATATAGGCTTTATTTTTAGTAACTTTTCTAGTAGCTAGGTTTTAATTATAGCCTGCCTTTAGTAAAAAGTCTAGGCTTGTAATATTTATATAAAAATTTAGTATATAGACTGTATTTTGCAGTATAAATAGCCTGTCTAAGGTTTTTAGCTGAATTTTACTGTAACCTTTAATTTTTAAATAGCTAGTGCCTAAAAAGGCAGTATTTTATTAAATAAAAGGCTTATATTTAATAAATTAAGCCTTATTATTATATATATATATAGTAGATCTACTATTAAGAATAAAAGAGTTCTTTAGTAGATAAATAGCATTATTTTCAATATAATTTGATTATTTTTAATATAATTTGTAGATATAGTTATAAATATAAATATATCCTTAGTAGTAGCTTTTATACTATTATTAGCAGCAAAAGCTATCTCTATAGAATTATTCCTTTTGTTATTAGTGTTTTTAGGTGCATTTTGCATCTTTTTCTTATTATATTTAATAGATCGGTTAATTTTCCCTTATAATTTAGGGTTTTCTTTTAGCTTATTAGCAATATTAGTACTAATAGCTTCCTTAGGCTTCCAATAAGAGGGCCTAATATTAGTATTAAGGTAATAACACTAATTATAGTAGTAATATTAACCGCAAATGCATTTAGGTATAGGTTTTCCGTTATTATAGATATATTTAAGTACTAGTTTTATGTTATTTATAGTATTATTTATATTATTATTTATATTATTAAGTTAATTAAGTTAATTAAGTTAATTATATTAATTATTAGAGCTATTTTTAGAGCTATTTTTAATAGATTCTTTAGAATTCTCTTAAAAGCTTGCAAAACTACTCTTTATATTAAACTACTATTAATTTTATTAATTTTATTTAAATAAATTTAATATTTTATAGCTATTAAGTATTTTATCTTTCTAATTAGGCTTATTTAGTTAAGCCTTATCTTAAATCTAGTTATTCTAGTAGCTAGAAAAGCCTAGATTTATAGTATTTATAGCAGATAAAAAGTCGATAGTAGGCCTTAGGCCTTTTATATCTAGTAAATCAAGCTGCCTAGATTTATAGTATTTATAGCTAATAGAAAGTTAATAGTAAGCCTTAGGCCTTTTATATCTAGTAAATTAAGCTAAATAGCCTCTATAAGGGCTTTTTAGTAATTTGTAATTTAAGTCCTAATTTTAGTCCTATTAAGAGCTCTTAATAGAGCTCTATAAGTTTCTAGAACTTCTTTTTTATAATTCTAAGAAGTAGGTTTAATTTAATCTTTTAATAGCTTTAATAATATAGCTATATTAAATTCTATTAAAATAGTATTATAATAGTAACTAACTATACTTATTATATAGCTCTATATATTATATATAGCTTTTTAATAGGCTAGATATAGCTAAAGCTAAATATAATAGCTAGCTCTAGCAATATCTAGCTTTCTAAGGTTAGTATTAGTAAAGTCAGCAATATATATAGCTACAGCGTTAATATCCTTATAGCTAGGCTCTTTAGGCCTTATAAGCCTATTATTATTAGTATTAGTAAATAGCTTATTATATAAAAGCTTAGTTAAATAAGTGCAAATAAGTATAAATTCTATTAAATAATAATAAAGTTTAGAAAAGTAGGTTTTAAGTAGATTCTAAGTAGGTCGCTTAATTAAATACTAAATTCTAATTAGTTAGAGGTTTAGCACTAAACTTAAACAGAAATAGTATATTTCTAATAAAGTATAGTATATAGCATAGAGCTTATAGCAACTAGGCTTATAACTATATAGGCTAATTAAGAGACTCTTTATAATATAATAAATATAATAAATAGAGCTTATATAATCTAGTTAATTACTAAGCATAAAATAATAGAGATTCTTAAAGTATAATAAAAGTAACTTTAGATATAGTATAAAATTATATATAATAGTATGTATTAAAAAGTATAGTTATAAAAGCTTTATTTTCTCTTTATTTAGTTAGAGAGAAGAAGAGTTATTTATAGGTAAATTCTATAGTAGAGCTACTAAATTAAGTATAGATAGTAGCTTAAAATAACCTTAAAGGCTAAAAATAACTTTTATAGCTACTTTTCTACTATAAAGTAGATTAGTCTTTATAGCTTATTAGTTTTTTTATTAAATTCTAGCTAGTATTTCTCTTTTAACTTTATTTATATATATAAAGAAATATAGGCGTAAAGTATATTAAATCCTTATATATAAAATATATATTAACATTTCTTGTAGGCAATTTATATGTTGTAGTTGTTTCCCTTGTTTTTATAGGTTGTTTTTTATAGTAGGCAGTATCTGCCGCTGACACAATTGCTCGTGCCAAAACGACGAGCTGCCCGAGGACAAGGCAGGCAGCTTAGATTGGGTAAATAGCATGGAGCAACGCAAGCCACGCCGAACTACTGACGCAGACCTTGATGGAGCGGATACAATACACATGCAGAGAAATCCAACTTCTCATTATTAAGCCGAAGAGGGGAGGAGCTCCTGTCCGAATCCGGGGAAGGCGCGCCTCATGGAGCCACAGTTTCCATACGTTTGCATTCCGGTCAATGGCCGTTCTTCCTCTCTTCCCACTCACGTTGTCCCCCTCTGGAATTTTCTCCGTCTTTGACTTCCACAACTTGTCTCTTCGCTTTCAGACCTTACGTCTCCGCGCATCTCATTCCCCAGCAGCCCAGCGCCGACTGCCATCATGCCTGTAATCCGCGTCGGAACTGCCTCGCCGGCCACCGGCCCCACCAAGGCCGCCACTCTCCGACACTTGGCCGACCTCGCTCGCCGAGCTGCCGCCCAATCCATCGACATTCTCCTGCTCCCCGAGGCTTACATTGGCGGCTACCCACGTGGCACGGCTTTCGGCGCTGTCGTGGGTGACCGCCCCTATGAGGGGAGAGAAGAGTTTGCTCAATACTTTGATCAGGCTGCGGACTTGGGCGATACCGTGGGCGGAGGCGCCGGGGCTGGAGCGAAATGGGTCAAGAGGGAGCTTGGTGGCGACGATGACTTGCTGAGGGGAGATGGCACGAGAGAGGAGTTGGAGAAAATCGCTAGTGATACCGGAGTTTTCATTGTCACCGGCATCATCGAGAAGGCTGGCGGTAGCTTATATTGCGCTGTAGCGTTTGTTTGCCCCAAAGCTGGTGTAATTGGAAAGCGACGCAAGGTTATGCCCGTGAGTGCTGGGCCCCCGCCTTGATTTGGCATTACATGGTTGTCTTGTACATTTTTCGAGCCAAGGAAACTAGGCCTTCTCTAACGCTAGTCAGACCGGTACAGAACGCCTTTGCTGGGCCCAAGGATCTCCCGCCACGCTCAAGGCCGTGTCGACCATCATCCGCGGCCAGCGAGTCAATATCGGGACCGCCATCTGCTGGGAAAACTACATGCCTCTCGTCCGCCAAGCGCTGTACGAGCAAAACATCAACTTATACCTAGCCCCGACAGCAGACGGCCGAGATGCATGGATGGGTCTCATGCGCACAGTCGGCATCGAGGGACGATGCTTCGTTGTGAGCAGTAACATGGCGGTACGCAAAGACAGCAGCACTCGGGCAGCTGCAGCGTCACAACCAAGCTTTACCCGAAGCAGAGCGAGACGTAACTCTGCATTTACTGATGAAGGCTTCGAAATTGCGCTGCCGTCGACAAGCCCGACTCGTCACAAGCGCAGAAAGTCGGTATTTGACGAGGACGGCAACGAAATCGTTCTTTGCTGTGATGAATCAAACGGAGCCGAGCAGGACGGTGCCACTCCAAGAGTCCAGCCCGGGAAAAATGTCCCCGGGGCTGACGGTTGGATTTCCCGGGGCGGGTCGTTGATTGTCAATCCTTTCGGTGATGTTCTCGCCGGGCCGCAATGGGAAGACGACGAGGGGCTCATTTTTGCGGATATTGACCTGAGGGAGTGTATCCGGGGAAGGCTTGACCTTGATACGGCAGGACACTATTCCAGGAACGATTCGTTCAAGTTTAGCGTGACTGGACTAGACTTGGATCCTTTGCCGTACTAGCCTGATGTTTCCTCAAACAGACAGAGATTGTCGTCACGGGGTTGGACAAGTCTGCCGAAGCCATGTGTCGATAACGTGTGTTCCACGTCTTGTTGTAAAAAGATTGTGGGAAAATTTTCAAAAAACAGTCATGCGCCCAATAGTTTCAGTATACAAGGGACGAAATGCACCCCGCACTGCAGCAGCAGTATTCGCTATATGCCCTTGTTTCCGAATGACGTGACGCACCATGCCCATGGCGGTTACCTCCTCCACGGCGCTAAAATGCTCTTTGCTCACAAACACAATCAAACGCACATGTCTTGATACAAGAGAGAGAAAGACACAGTACACACAAGTCATTGCCTCTTCTCGCTCGGCTGCTGTGACCTCTGACACGGCCGCCACCCCTTCTCGGCCGCGTCGCAGGCTTTCCGCTCGGCCCCGTCCTCCCTCCTCTGTCTGTCCAGCGCAGCCTGGGCCAGAATCTCACGCCGGCTCAGGCCAGCGCCCATGTTCCTGACGCCTCCGAGCACGAATTCGCCGCCCGTCCACCCGCCCGCGTCCTCGTCCTCGTCCTCGTCCTCGTTCGGGCCCGTCAGTCCCGCAACGGTATACCTGGACGTCTCGCCAATGGTGCGGCCGCCAGACTTCCAGTCGGCGGCGTGCACCTCCCGCTCGATCTGATGGCACAGATCCCAGAATTTCCGATCGTGGGGGCCATGGACGTTGTGGGCGAGTTCGTGGCACAGCGTCTTGCGGATGGTCTTGTAGTCACGATAACCGTCGTGGGCGTCGGTCCGGAGGCGGAGCTCAATCACCTCGCCCTGGTTGCGGTTGAGGCCGAGCGTCCGAGAGGTGCCCTCGTGCGTTGTCTGCGTGTGCGACAGCGGCTCCATCTCGGTGAGCAGCGACACGGTGAACTTGTGCTTCCTCATGGCGGCCTTGATGCCGGGGTCCTCCGTGAGCCGCAGCAGCAGCCTTTGGCTGGTCTCGGGATGAGGCAGGCCCTGGAGCGGCCTCACCTGGAGAAAGGTGTACTTGGCGTCGTCCTGGGACCCGGGCTGACTTGGCCGCTGGGCGCGCTTCATCTTGGCCCTCTGCGCCATGCGTGCGGCGTTTCGCTGGGCCACCTTTTCGGACATGCTCTGCACGGCTTGGACTTCTGCGGCGCCGCAGCCTAGAAGCGTCAGCGTCTTTCCTTGCAGGCTGCCGAGCGGCATGTCGGGCTCCTTGAGCGGCGATCTGAGCAGGGGGCCCTTGGGCACGAGCATCTTTTGGTTGGCGACGGGGATATCGAGCGCCGCGGCAATCTCTTCGAACAAGTCGGTGACGGTGGCGTCGTCTGCCAGTTCAAACGTGTAGTTGTGTTTGCGATGCGACACCGTGATGGTGACCCAGCCGGGCTCGGACGCCGACGGCGCGCTCCCTTGTGTGTCGGCCATTGTTGTTGTAGGTAGGATGTAGGCGGCAACTACTTGAGTGGTCGAGTATTGAAATGCGTGGGGATTCAGGTGCTTCCAGAGCGATGTGTAGTGTCGTGTGCGAGTCGTTTGGCTCCGCGTCGTTACTTATATCATGGATGATTACAAATGCGGTGTTTGGGGGCCGCCCGGGTGTTGGATGCTGGGGTATTCTTGGCAGCCCTGGGGTACAGACAGCGGCGGACGTGTACTAGAACGGTATGGCGTTGGTTTGCACGAGTAATAGCAGTGATGGGGGGGTTTCAAAACATTAAAGTGACATGGATCGTTTGCGCAGATTATCGTGGGTGAACAAGTCGGCATTTTGTCTTGCGTTGCGCGGGAGAGCGGCCAGGCCAATTTGTGATCGACGTCACTGCGCTGCCCGCCACGCTGCGCCACACGGACCATTCCTGCTGACAAAGGGGTCAACGGTGGCTGGCTGGCTCATGACTCCCGAGTACCGGAAACTGAAGCTACCAGCGATTTGTGGGCCGGGTGAGCTCTGCACCCAATCACCGTCCGCATCTTGCTCCAGAAGCTACCCGCGTCGTGTCCTTTTTGCACCTGCTCCGTGCTCGTACTCGGCGGGCATCTGATAATTTACTAAGCTTCCCTTGTCCTCTTCCATTCATTCAAGCATCCCCCGAGCTTGAAGCTTGCAATCGGCAACACCCATTGCGGACGGTAACCTCCTCAACGCATCTCCATCCAGCAGAGTGCCTCACTTCCAATTGTCCAATCCGTGCGCGCCTTCTGTCGCAGGTGCGCAACAGTCAAAATGGTCCTCAACGTATTCCGTGTTGCTGGTGCGTCATCCGTTGCCGCCCATCCATCTCGTCCCTCGCTCGCCCTGCGGTGCACTGTTGTGCCCTGACGAGAGCTGCGCGGTGCCATCATGATGAACACAAACCGCAGCTAACCTTTTTCGCAGCGGATTTCTCGCATCTGACGAGTATCCTGATCTTGTTACATAAGATGCTTCAGCTTAACGTGCGATCAGCCGCCTTCAGAGTCCAACCCAACACGCCCCCCTCATCGTAGTGGTCGCTAACGTTTGCCAGAGCTGTTCCGGCATCTCGTTCAAATCACAAGCCCTCTACCTCTTTGTCTACGTGACGCGATATCTCGGTACGCGCCGAACTCGACTCACTCGTCAGAGGCCAACTGCAGATGCTAACACGCCACTTGGGCAGACCTGTTCTGGACAGAGAGTTTATACAATCTGGTCTTCAAGATCATGTTCATCGGATCCCAGGGATACATCATCTACCTCATGACCAACGCCTACAAGCCTACAAATGATCCCAACGTCGATACCTTCCGTGTCCAGTATCTCCTCGCTGGCGCTGCCGTACTGGCCGTTTTGTTCCCGTACAAGTACACCTTTTCCGAAATCATGTGGGCCTTTTCCATCTGGCTCGAGTCTGTAGCCATCCTGCCGCAGCTCTTCATGCTTCAGAGAACTGGCGAGGCTGAGACCATTACGACGCACTACTTGTTTGCCTTGGGCAGCTACCGAGCTCTGTACATTCCTAACTGGATCTACCGCTACTTTATGGAGACCCACTATAAGACTGATTGGATCGCCATTATTGCCGGCATCATCCAGACTGTACTGTACAGCGACTTCTTCTACGTCTACTACACCAAAGTTCTCAAGGGCAAGAAGTTCAAGCTCCCCGTCTAAGCAGCCACCAGGTCGCAAAACCACCCTTGGTAAGGTTCAATAATGTACGAGATGTCTGGTTCATTCACGACAATGGTATTCGAATCTAGACGGATATTGCCAACGCCGTCCGATTGCGCGGGCGAGCAAACGATGCTCTCACTTCTTTTTGCGATTTGTATGCTTGCACAGAGTTTCAATTCGCGGATGGTATGAATTTCACAGGAATGCCTTCGAATGGCTGGCATAGTGGCGTTGTCGGCGAACATACTGAAATTTGTTGGCCGCGAGATTTGGCGTCTGCAAGGCTAAGGCTGTAGATGGATCACGGCATGATGCTACGATAATAGAAGGAGATGATGTGTCTCGGGAAAAAAATCAGAGCGGCCATCGGGAGGAAGATAAATAGCAACCCGTCTTTGCGGCACGGTCAAACTTGGCCATCTTGTAGCTTAAAGAAAAAATGACGGGCAGCGAATGCAATTGTGAGCTTCCATTCGACATGTGAAGTGAAGCCGAGACATGCGAGCGCCACAGACACAGCCAACACCAGAACACGAATCAAAATACGTATGTACATAAAGTCCGGGTTCGAGGTTAATGCGAATACGTAACACAAACAGCGGTAGGGATGTTATTTTCCAAAACCTGTTCGAATGACGCAACGTGTGGTCACGTGACACAGCCCTGCATCGCCCTCCTCGAGCGAGCGCCTACCTGGTCCATCAAACCAACAACCAGAAATCCCAACCACGCGCAAGCCGGATTCCAAAATGGCGAGCGACGCGCCAGAGAATCCCGACTCTCAGCCAGTCACGCAAAACGGGCAACCGGAACAGCACGACGTCCCCGATGGCCCGAACCCCCCACCGCCTGAGCTCGCGTCGGGACAAGATCCCCGACTGCCAACCCATAAGGATACGTCATTGCGAGAGTTTCTGAATAAAATCGACGACTACGCCCCAATTGTAAGGGCCTGCTCACGCTGGGCTGATGTGCTCCAGGCTTCAAGTCGCTCCAGGTGACTAATAAACGACAGATACCCGATGCCGTGACCAACTACTACATGACCAAGGCTGGTCTCCCGCCTCCGCCGCAGACCGACGCCCGCCTGGCGAGGCTGCTTGCTCTGGCGACGCAAAAGTTCATCGCCGACATTGCCGCCGACGCGTACCAGTACAGTCGCATCCGCGCCTCGAGCAACACCAACAACCCCATGGGCACGCTCGGCGCGGCCGCTGGGTTTCCTATCCCCGGGCAACAGACCGGTCAGCCTGGCAACAAAGACCAAGGCAAGGGTGCGCCTCTAGGTATCCAGCGCCCTGGGTACGGCGGTGGAGGGCAGGGCGGAAGCCAGAACAGGACGGTCTTGACCATGGAGGACCTAGGGATGGCCGTTGGGGAGTACGGCGTCAACGTCAAGCGGAGCGAGTTCTATCGCTAGATGGCAGGGCCGTGGGATCTTGTCCATCACCCTCAACGCTTGTCATTCCAGTACAGGCAGGGCTTATGCACCTAATTTTTTTTTTTTCTTGGTGTGAGAGGGGCTGGGATTTCAGGGCTTGGCGTTTGGGGGGTCAGGTGAGGTGGATGAATGAGTGTTTTGGCTCGCGGCGTTAGTTTTCTGTTATTATCGGCACTAGAGAACGCGAGGGTATTTCGGCAATACAGTGACTCCTCGATGAGAGAAAACCACAGTTTTTTTTTCTTGACAAGGCACGCTGGACCGCTTTTTATTGTTTGCTGTTTGTTCATTTATGATGTGCCGTATTATTACACGTATTTTGTACAGATGGCAGTAGATTGATGCCAGTCCGGCTCTGGGCTTCAAGACATCCCCATCCCGCCCCCAGTACACGGGTCTTACTTCCTATCCCAAACATTCGGCTTGCGAGTCCTATCAAGCGAGTCGTCAGCATCCCCTCCTCGAGTCACCAAGCGCGCAAGCGTTCGCAAAACGTACGGCGAAAACTCCCCCAGCTTATGTCCGACCATGTCCTCCGTTATCGTGATCTGGTGGTAGTCCTTGCCATTGTGGACCTCAAACTTCAGCCCGACAAAGTTGGGCAAAATGGTCGCCGAGCGAGCCTGTGTTCGCACGGCGGGCACCTTGTCGCCTTGCTTCTTGGGGAACACGATTGGGAGCCTAGGGTGGACGACGGGTCGTTAGGGACACTGGGCGGTGGTGGTGCAGAAAATCGAGGGATCGTGCACCTACGGGACAAGATGCGGCCCTGTGCGGTTGTCGTTAGCTACACAAGCTCTGGCTGTTGGTGATCGCCCCCCGGGGCAGCGCGGCGCGGGGGGGGAAGTGGCATGATACCTTTCCACACTGAGCGCTTTGATAGCGCTCGGGTTGCTTGCATTTTTGGGTCTGGGAGTCGGTGACTGCGCAGACTGACGGTCGCGAGATCGGGATGCGTTACCGGTAGACTTGGACCGACCGAGAGTGATGGGCGGTCACGTGACTGTGATTGGGTACCTAGGTGGTACTGGGAACTTTGCTGAGGTCTTTTTCCCTGGTAAGTTGCTGATATTTTCTCGGGGTTTCCATCTTTTGGTTTTTTTTTTTGTCACATCAAGTTAGTTGGAGTGCCTTGATTGAGTACGCTGAGCCTCTTAGTGGTAGCCAGTGGAACAATTCAAGTCGATGCCGACAAATTGAACCATCTGAAATGCATCATCGAGCGCCGATGAGCGCTCTAGGGTAGGCATTCTGTCATCACGTGGGTCTTTCAACCGGACCCCTGCTCCAGAGGTCAGACAACAAGCTCGCCGCATTGCTGGTTGGTGGTTCTACAACGCCCGCGGGCTAAAGCAATTGTGGACAGAACTCCTTATCCGCCAGAACATTTGTCCGTCATTTTGCTATTTTGCATTTGCATCGGGGCGGCACGGCATTCGGATTTCTTTGCGCACTAGAATCTAAGCGATTTCTATTCGAACCAGCGTCGGGTATGTGGTGAAACGATTTCCATATTGAACCGATCACGTTCTCCTCCCTGCCCGCCTTGCAGGAACCGGCGTTGCATCAGATTCCACCAGCAAGGTTAACCGGCGAACGCGTACACGCCCGATCGTGCCGACATTAGAACAAAGCCGAAGCCTCCGAAAAGCTCGCGTGTTATATAGGCGTACACGCCCAAGAAGATCGGTCCTTAGTACACCTTTCCCCCCCTTCCTCGATGCCTAGCGCCACAGCATCCGGGGCGAACCCGGGCGGCGACTCATCGGCTCGCTCCCGCGACCATAATCAGGGAAACCAGGGCAAGGTATACACAGAAGAGCAAAGGGCGGCCGTCGTGCGTATTCGAAAATGCAACCCCGCGGCCTTTTATGATATCCTGGCGCTGGAAAGCGTCAAGACGACGTGCACGGAAGCGGACATCAAGAAGGCCTATCGGAAACAGTCCCTTCTTACCCATCCAGATAAAAACGGCCACGAACATGCCGACGAGGCTTTCAAGATGGTCAGCCGAGCATTTGGAGTTCTAGGTGACAAGGAGAAACGAGAGAAGTATGACAAGTTTGGCACCGACCCCGATAGTCGGTTTGCCAGCGCACAGGCGCAGAATCCCTTCTCGGGATTTGCCTCGCGGCAAGCATCGGGAGGAATGGGCCGTGGTGGTGCGGGCGTGTGGGAGGAAGAGGTGAGCCCGGAGGAGATGTTTGCGAGATTTTTTGGCGGCGGCGGCGGCCCCTTCGCAGGTGAGACGCGAACACGATCCTTTCAATCGCCGTCCCGGACTGGTACTGACAGGGCAGCCTTCGACGCAGGTCCCCAGTTTGTGTTCAATCTCGGCGGCGGCCCGGGAATTCGCGTCCACCAGTTTGGCGGCGCAAGACCGAGACGACGACCTCGAGAGGCACAGGAAGCCGAGCAGCAGCAAGGCGGGCTGCAGAACCTGATGACCCTGCTGCCCATACTGATCTTCTTCATCTTACCCATGATCTCGTCCCTGTTCACGGGCGGCTCCTCGGGCTCCTCGATCCCCATGAGATACGACGAACCGCAGCCACCGTACACGGAGCGACGCTACACACCCAACCACAAAGTCAAGTACTATGTCAATCCTAGAGACGTGCAGTCGTTGAGCAAGTCGAAGCTTTCGCAGCTGGACCACACCGCCGAGGCGAATTTCATCCGGTTCCTGGACAACAAATGCGAGCACGAAAACATTGCCCAGCGTCGCCTGAGAGAAGACGCTATGGGGTGGTTCTACGAGGACGCGGAAAAGATGGAACAGGCAAACCGGTACCCCAAACCAAACTGTGACCGATTGAGGTCGTTGGGGTACAGGCGGACATGAGACTCGGTGACGCCTTTTTATTTTGTTTTACTTTCATCTCCGCCCTCCTCGGCGAGACTCCTGGCCAATACAAGACGTAATTTTTCCTTCCCTCTCTGGACAAGTCTACGCTTGTTTTTACAGACATATAGCCTTTTTCTTGCATTGAAACGAAGACGTTGGGGTTTGGTGGGCGCATATTACCTTTTATCACTTGGTTTGTTCCGCATTGGCGATTGCCGAGCACGACAAAGCATAGCATGACGTGGCACGATTGCGGGTGGGAGTGCTGCGGCACTAACTAGAGCTTACAGAGGCGCGTGTATGTGTATGTAGCCACGAGGGTGTGGTGTAGAATCGAAGCTTTTCCCTGGGCCACGCGAATAGCCTTGCCAGACTTTGCTTGGGTCTCGAAAGCAGGCGGCACGTGTGCCGAGCGTGAGGCACGCATGGATGGTGGGTGTCAATGTATTTGGAGTAACGAAGGCACCTCCCATGAGGCGGCACATGGTTTGTGTCAAGAACCATGCTTGATGCCCGCGGGGGTCTTGTAGAGCAGTCACGGGCGGGCGTCAATGACGTAAGCTCAAGGGCTTTTCTACTCCACGGCACAGACGGTACGTTAACCTGTTGCGTTGCGTTGCGTTGTCTCTTTTATTATGATTTTCCCCCCTTGCCCAACGTCGTCTCTATGAGCGTGGAAGAGCCCCCGTCTCCGTGGCCATGTCGAGCAGCTGGGCCACAATGGCCTGGACGTCGGCCGTCTTGATGGGCAGTCTGTGGCCGGCGTGCCACTCGACCAGCCTCGTGGTGCCGGGCTCGCAGTAGGTGTGCAGCAAGGCCCTGTGCCTCGGGAGGCCGGGGTCCTGCAGGCCGTGGACGTGCAGGGTGGGAACGCGCAGGACGTGCGGGCCGCGCGCGGGGGCGGCCGGGTCGGGATAGTCGTCGAAGGAGGTGCTGAAGACGGCGGTGCTGGCGACGTGCGGCGGCCGCGGCAGGCGCCGGTCCAGGTGCAGGACCGGGGCGCTGCCGGCCATGAGGACGCCGAACTTGAAGCTGGTCCGGGGCGGGAGCGTCTGGGCGTCGGCCTCTGCGCGCTGCTGCGCCCACAGCAGGCTCGCGGCGACCTTGGCGCCCTGCGAGAAGCCGAGGACGCCGACCCAGGGCCCCGAGCCGGCGTCGCGGGCCATGGCGGCGAGGCAGGCGTCCATGATGTCGTCGGGGCCGGCGCTGGGCGGCAGGCCCGGCTCCTCGGGGCTCCAGGCCAGCCAGCGGTAGAAGGGGCCGAGCTCGCCGTAGACGGCGGCGATGTCGCGGTGCGGGCGGGAGGCGTAGGGCGCGTCCATGAAGACGAGGCGGAACGTGCGGGCGAGCTGGGCGATGATGGTGCGGCACTGGAGGCGGAAGACGGTGCCGTTGACGCCGCCGCCGTGCAGGCAGAGGATGCGCGGGAGCGTGAGCGTGAGCGTGTCGTCGACTGTCATGGCCGTCTTGGCTTTTGCTGCCGGTGCGAGTGCATGCACGGAGTACGGAGTAGCGAGTGGCTGTCAAGTGGCTGTCAAGTGTCGACGACGGCGATGTCTGGACCGGATCGCCCTTTTCGCATGGTTGTCGGACGAAAAGGGTGCAATCCAGAGCGACTTCGGAGCAGTCACTCGGAACCGCGACAAAAGAGGCTGACCCGACGCGGGAGGCATTTCTGCCTGGCAGGGCTTACCAGCCGGGCAAGTCGCCCAGGTGCCCAGGCACCTTAGGTACTTACTTAAGTACCTCGAGCACTTAAGTGAGTACTGAGTACTCAAAGCTAAGTGCTTAGGTAAGTAAGTACTCAAGTACTTACGCATACTGGGTCACGACTAGGTCCTCTGCCAGCTCACCGCTGAATGAAAGAAACGCCGCGCCGCGATGCGCCCCGGCATGATCAGCAGGGTCCTCATCCTCAAACGGCCACGCGTACGCTCGGCGGTAGATTGACTCGCATTGCGTCAGGCAGGCGCGCACACACACCTGCGGTTGACATGACTCTTGAAAGCCAAATGACATCACAATGAGCTGCTCCCCGCCATGGGCAACGCCTCAGCTCCAGAATTCAATAGAGGCCGCCAACGTCGACGTTTGTTCGACCAGGTCGGGTCGACATGTATATAACCCGTCACCCGCCCTCAACTTACCTCGCCGCACATGCGCACTCGATCAACCTCTTCATCGCTCACAGAGTCGCCGCCACCATCAACCATGTCCAGCAACGAAAAGGCCGGCGACGAGGGCGTTGCCGAGCTCAGCGGGAATACCGGTGCTGCTGCGAGCGGCACCTACTTTCCCGGCCCGCCGCCTGGTCCTCCCCCGGCGCAGTCGCAGACGCAGCTCTCTCAACCTCCCCCATCACCACAAGGCCAGCCCGAGCAACAGCCTCCAGCACAGCACCAGCCGCCGCCTCCCCAGCAGCCAGAGCGCCAGCAACAGCACCAGCAGCACCAGCAGCACCAGCCGCCGTACTTTCCTCCCCCGCCGCCCGCCCCCGACGACGAGAAGCAGTCTCACCAACAACAGCAGCACGGCGCCAATCCAGTCTTTGCACCGCCCCCGACCGGCCAACATGACGCGCCGACTTCGTCACCGCAGGCTCAGCAGCAGCAGCAGCAGCAGCAGCAGCAGTCGCAGCAGTCGCAGGCTGGTCACAAAAAGCCCGGCTGGGGCCATCGCTTCAAGCACCTGGTGAGCGCTGGGGCCGCCGCTCCCATCAACAGCCTTGCCCACAAGCTCGGGAGTCAGAGCTTCTTGCCCGAGACCCTGGACAAAGAATGCGACAAGGCCGCCGCTATTCTGAGATCCTTCTGCGGTATGTCCTTCCTATTCCGTCCAGGCTAAACCTGAACGCACAAACTCGCAGTGCTGCCTGCTGACACTCGACGTGTCTCACAGCCAAGGGTGTCTATGCCGACCCGGGTGCTGGCCGACCCCCAACGTCGACCGCTCCCAAAGCCCAAGAGTCTGGCAGCGCCGTTGCTGACCCTGCCAGGGAGAAGAAGCCCAAGAACCGCGTCATTGTCACCATTCCGCCAAAGGTCATCTCCAAAGCGGTTGGCCTGGCCATCTTCACCACTCTCCGTGCTGGCTTCCAGATATCCGGCGCCACTGGCTCTGGCGTCCTCATCGCGCGGTTGCCCGACGGATCATGGAGCCCGCCGTCAGGCATCCAGGTCCATTCCGTCGGAGGAGGCTTCCAAATCGGCCTGGACATCTACGACTGTGTCTGCGTCATCAACAGCAGGCAAGCCCTGGCGGCCTTTACCAACACTCGCGTCAGCCTCGGAAGCGATTTGGCGGTGGTGGCCGGTCCTTATGGTGCTGGAGCCGCCGTTGACTTCGGAACCGCCGTGCAGCGCTCCGGGGGTGAGACGGACAAGAAGGGGACAGCGAGCGGGAGCGCATCGGGACCTGTCCAGGCGCCGACAGCGGCAGCGGCTGCGGCTGCACAGGGCCAGCACTCGAATGCCCTGCCGCCTGACGCGGGGGCCTCCGGGGACTCGAAGCGCCGAAGTCTCAGCGCCGGCACGTTCAAGCCCGTGTTCTCGTACGTCAAGTCGAGAGGGTTCTATGCCGGCATCCAGGTCGATGGCACGGTGGTGGTGGAACGCAAGGATGCCAACGCCGCTTTCTACGGATGTCCCATCACGGTGCAGCAGATTCTCCAAGGGCAGGTCCCCCCCGAGGGACCCCAGAACATGTGGCCCGTCGGCGCGCGTGGACTGCTCGAGACTCTCCGGGGAGCCGAAGCGGGAGCTCAGAGCAGTGCCGCCCCTGTATCACCTGCACTTGGAATGACAGCCTCCCCCGGAACTGGAAATGCGCCGTCATCAAATGAAACTCCTGCGGCCGCTGCTGCAGGTGGTCAAGCGCCGTCTGGTGCGCCGCCCGCTTATGCAGACGATGGGAGCCATGCCCAAGATGGTGATGTCAAGTATGCTTGAAGGTGTTGTGCGTCGTAAGCCCAAAGAAATCAAAACAAAAAGGGACTTTTTGCGCAAATAATGCGAAGCAGATAACAGAATGTCATGTACACCATTCTTGCCATCGCATGGTGTGTGTTTTATCACGTCTTGAGTACCGGCGACTTGTTGTAGTTGTGCGTCTCGAGCCGAACTCGGAGGCTCGGTGGTTGTTACCCCGCGTGATGGAGAGGCGGGGTAATTATTATTAGTAACTGCAATCATTATTAACCGCATGCGACGAACCACGCACGCCACTTGGCAGGCTGAGTCGGAATGTCATTGTGTTTCTGGCGAATTGGGCTTGAAGAGGAAGAGGCGTATGGCCAGATAAATGGCTCGATAAAAGGGGTTGACGAGGGCTGATGTCTTTTTGTCTTTTCTCTCTCTCTCTCTCTCTCTTTTCTTTTCTTTTCTTTTCTTTGGCAGTGGCTACCTATTATCGGCGAGTCGTCGTCGGCCATTCATCCATCATTACACGTACAGGGCCCCCAACCACGCCCAGAATGGACCAATTCGCCGTGTATCCCAGCCTCCGCGACAAAGTGGTGCTGATGACGGGCGGCGCAGAGGGCATCGGCGCGGCGGCCGTGGAACTCTTCTGCCGGCAAGGCTCGCAGGTCGTCTTCCTAGACATTGCCGACGACGCGGCGGCCCGGCTCGCGGAGCGCGTGGGCTCGCTCGAGGGCGCCAGCAAGCCGACGTTTTGGCACTGCGACGTGACGGACCTCGACCAGCTCGAGCGGTGCGCGCAGCGGGTGCTCGCGCGGTTTGGGCGCGTCGACGTGCTCGTCAACAACGCCGGGGCGGCGGGCAGCAGCTCGCGCGTGCCGACGGCGCGGGTGACGCGGGCCTCGTTCGAGCTCGACGTCAACGTCAACCTGCGGCACCAGTTCTTCCTGACGCAGCACGTGGCGCCGGCCATGCAGCGCCAGGGCTCGGGCAGCATCATCAACCTGGGCTCCATCATGTGGCGCATCGCCGCGCCCGAGGCGCCCGTCTACACGACGTGCAAGGCGGCCGTCGTGGGCATGACGAGGACGCACGCCCGCGAGTTTGGCCCGCACGGCGTCCGCGTCAACAGCATCATGCCCGGGTCCATTGCCACGCGGAGGCAGATCGAGTCGGTCCTGACCGACGAGTACAAGGCCGAGAGCCTGGCGGCCCAGTGTCTGAAGAGGGTCCTGATGCCCGTCGAGGTGGCGAGGCTCATGCTGTTCCTGGCCGCCGACGACTCGAGCGCCATCACGGGCGGCAGCCACGTGTGTGACGGGGGATGGGTTGGCGATACTTGACCGTCACGACTCGTGGCCGGGACCAAGCTTCTTGCGAGCAGTGCGACGTGTCGCGACGTGTGTGGAAGCCTTGTCGTCGCCCTCTGGCTTCACTTGGTTTTTTTTTAATTTTTAATTTTTATTTTTTTACGGCCAGGCGTCCCGGGCACCAGTACCTTGAGGTTTTCGCTCCTTCATAAAGTTGATAATCCGATGAAACGCACGCTACAATGTCGCAACACAGCTAGCCGACCATAAACTTTTACCACAAGGCATACACACTCTCAAACGAGCTGTAACGTCGCTGTAGCATGGCGACAAAACCTTGAGCCGCCCCAGCCTAGTGGACCGCGGGCCTTTTGTCTGGTTGTTCTGCGCGACCTCTGCCGGCTGGGCACCACATTACCATCACGTCACGTCGCCTGACGTGGACCTACAGTTTGGACCCTGAAAATTTCCCCGGGAGCGACACCACAGGGGAGTTCCTGGGCCGATCGAGGAACTTTACTCTAGGTACTTAGAAGTATGTACATGTACCTACGTCCCCTTGGAGCTTCTCCCTGCAAACAAGTTGCTGCTCCGCAAGCGTATGTACGGAGTACTTCGAGTACTTCATTCAAGTAGGCACAGATAGCCCCACCCATAGTCAGTGGGTCAGTGCGCGACGGAGCCCTGGCCTATTCACGACGACACGCGTATCATCAACTTTCAACTTCCAAGCCTCTGAATCATGACCCGCCCTTCGTCTCCTAAACTTTATTTATCTCTTACAGACCACACTTGGCCGTATCCCCAACTGACAGGACCAAACGCTTTCGTGGCCAAGTCCGAGAACAAATAAAATGGCTAGGGGTGTTGCTACCGGCTCCCGGCACTACGTGGTGCGTCCATGTCTACCGAGTACCCGTCTCTTTGTTCCCTCAACTTTGACCCTTCCCGTGTCTTGTTGAGCCATGGACGCCATCTTCAGACATGGCCTTTACAAGCTCCGAAAATCCGTCGTGCGTCCAAGCGTTTCTTGCTCGACGCCCAGAAACCACAACTCTTCGCCTATACCACCCAAGCTTCACCAGACGTCCTTTCTCGATGGCATGCGAGGCGTGGCCGCCCTGATTGTGGCCCTGTTCCATACAGGCTGGGCCTACGACGCCGGCATCGAACAGGGCTACCGCTCCGACGGCCCGAGTTCCTTGATTTTGCAGCTTCCATTTCTGCGGCTGACACATGCCGGCCACGCCATGGTCTGTGTCTTTTTCGTCATCGGCGGCTACGTGAATGCCGTGCAGCCGATACGCCTGATGTACGAGGGGCAGTGGGACAAGCTGTTGGTGTCGGCGAGCTCGAGCGCGATGCGCCGCGGAATCCGCCTCTACCTGCCGGCTGTCGTGGCGATGCTCGTGTCCGCCATCACCGTACGCCTGGGGTGGTGGGATGCTTCGCGGGCCAACATTGAAGCCCACATGTTCGGATATCCCGACTTTCACCCATATCGCCAGCCAACCATGTCTGCGCAGTTGGCAGACTGGTGGCGTCACACGGCGGATCTCCTCAACCTCTGGGACTGGGGGCTACATTTGCCCGTGTACGATCCGCACCTGTGGACGGTGCCCGTGGAGGTGAGGAGCTCCCTGGTCCTGATGCTGGTCCTCGTCGCCTTGAGCCGCTGTCGTCCTGTGGCCCGCTGGCTTCTCCTCTTGCTGCTGATGCTGTTCAGCGCCAGCCACGGTCGCTGGGAGGTGCTTTTGTTTCTTGCAGGGGCCTTGATTGCCGAGGCAAACTTGCGCGGCCGTCAAGAATGCGACACGCTACCAATGGCCGCCGAAGGCCAGTTGGACAAGGAGTCGGACGCGGGCTGCCAACTGCTGGCGACGGCTGCCAGGGGCAGAAGAGATGCATTGTGTGCCGTCGTCTTTCTAGGAGGCCTATACATGCTCTCAGCGCCAGACGTGCACACCGGGGAGTCGCCCGGATATGTCATCATCTCGTCCGCCGTGCCACGGAGTTTCGGAGACACAAAGAGGATTGTTCACGGGGTCGGGGCGGTCATGGCCACATGGGCCATCTCTAGGTCGTCGGTGCTGCAGAGGCCCTTCCTGATGCGGCTGCCTCAGTATCTGGGCCGGATCAGCTATTCGTTGTATATCGTCCACGGCCCCATGATGCACGTGGTTGGATACACGGTGACGCCGGCCTTGTGGGCATGCTTTGGCAGAGACACCCCGTCCCGGTGGCTGCTGGGGGTTGTTCTGGGAAACGCATTCACATACGTCCTGATATTCGCCGTGTCCAATCTCTTCTGCACGTGGGTAGATGCTTCGTCGGTGAGTATCAGCCGCGCGTTTGAGCGGCTGTGCCTGGGGCAGTTAGGAAAATAGACGTGACAGCGGCCTTTTGCTCTTTGCAAGATGCAGTCATTGCTCGCGTGTTGTGCCACTGACACGATGCAGCATTATTTGAGGTATAAAAAAAAGGAGGTAAAGGAGCCTTACTTGTATAATACGGATTTGTACAGTTTCAAAGATGCTCAACTTCCAAGGCGAATTTCGAATGCTTGGGCTGCCTTGCAGTCTGATCTCTGCCCACTCGCCCACCTGCCAAGGCGAGTACCTGATAGAGGACGATGATGTAATATAGGCCACTGTTTGTGCCACTAGAGGATCTCAGACATGGCTGAATCACCAAAGGTGGGTCGTGGCCGGGTACTCGTCGGCTAAAGCAACGATGCCCCGTGCACCACCTGGAAGGCCCAAGTCTTTGTGACAAAAGGTACAGACAATATATGGGACAGTTTGAAATTGTATCCACCAAAATTAAAATCATCAAGATTGAGTCCAATTTCGGAATCACACGTTGGCAAATATAGTCATGTAACATGTTATACGCGTTGATTTTCGTCTTGGTTTTGCCCATCCGGCCCACACCGACGTCAGATGTCAATGGCCAAGCGGTTATAAATTAAAGGTGGCCGATGCTGACTCACCTCAACTAGTGCCTCTCCGCCAACACGGCCATTCTTCATGCACGTCCAGTCGACATCTCGCCTTGTGCGGCAACGCCTCTTCACCTCGCGACCGAAGATAGATGACAATGTGCGGCTTTAGGATACACGCATAGGGCTGCGCACTCAGGACTTTGACGCTCACTGCGAAAGAATGGCGACGTGAGTTCAAGTTACCGATCCCCAGCTCACTCTACCGCAGTACCCAACCGAGCTCGCACCACACCACATCAGATTGCTCAGGTTCCATTTGCCTCGGCAGCCATGCTGACAGTGGTCATCTTAGCACCGTAAGCATCTTGTCGCTGCCCTTTCGGCGATCGACGCAGCTGTCTCTAGCTTCCGTCATCCGACAATACATCAACGGCAAGTATGACCAGCATCCAGACATGTTCAAACAGGACCTCGAGGTCATCGATGCTCTGCGTCAAGATGCCATCCACGTTCGCGAGCCACACTCGAGTGGCATCAAGAAGCTTCAAGCTTATGCGGGACAACTGGCTTGGATAGGAGGCAAATTTCCCATCGATGTACGTGGTTCCTCACAGCCCTGCGTCTTGTTCGTTCTGAACAGGACTAACCATGGCCCTCCGTCATTTTCTCGTCGCGGCAGATTGGCGCGGAATTCACCTGGTATCCTGCCCTGGGTTACAACACTGAGCGACCCCTGGTGCGAAACAACTTGAAATATGAGCTCCTCAACGTTCTTTACAACCTGGCAGCCTTGTACTCGCAGATCGCGGTCAACACGCCTCGAGGGACGTCCGAAGGCATAAAAACGGCCGCCAACCAATTTTGCCTCGCCGCCGGAGTGCTTTCCCACATGAAACAAGAAATCGTTCCCTTCCTTCGAATGTCCGATCCTCCAGAGGATATGGATGAACATACGTTGGAATCCCTCATCCAGCTGTTTCTTGCCCAGAGCCAAGAGTGCTTTTGGCAGAAAGCTGTTGTCGATGGTTACAAGGATGCGTCGATAGCAAAGTTGGCCGCTAGAGTATCCGACCTATACAATTTGGCGGGAGAAGCCGCCATGAAGAGCGAAGCCATCAGCAGTGCCTGGATCCACCACATGACTGCCAAGCACCACCACTTTGCTGCTGCAGCCCAGTATCGTGCTGCCTGTGACTGCCTCGAAAAGAGGAAATATGGAGAGGAGGTCGCCAGGCTGAGAGATGCTGTTGCTTGTGTTGCAGAGGGTCTCAAGGAAACCAAAGGCGGTTATCTCAACAAGAGTGTTGTCGACGACCTGAACGGGCTCAAGAGAAAGGTGGAGGAGGACCTCAAGAGGGCCGAGAAGGATAACGATATGATATTTCTGAGTAAGTGAGGATTTTTTCTTCTCTCTCGTTTCCTTGCCTTATACAGAAACCATGGGAAACTATGATTAACAAGCATTAGACCCCGTTCCACCCAAGTCGGAGCTCAAGTTCCTCGAGAGAGCCAACCTGGCAGTGGCTCGTGTGCCGCCTCAAGTGGCCAACCCGTTCGACTTCCTTGGCGACCGAGCGGAGTTTGGCCCGGCGTTGTTTTCCAAGCTGGTGCCTTTATCTGTTCATGTCGCCGTTTCCATATACGAAGAACGCCGCGATCGGTTGGTCAACCAAAATATCATCCAGGACTTGGAAGTTCTCAATGACAAGATCCACTCCTTGTTCAGCGCCATTGGCCTCCCTGGCTCGCTACAGGCTTTGGAAAAGCCTCTTGGCTTGCCCCCAAGTCTAGTGCAGCATGCCGAGGAATTAAGACAGGCAGATGCGATAGGGAGACTTCGAAAGAGTTTTACCGACATTGACAAGCTACGGGCCGCCGACATTGCCATCTTTGAGGAAGGTAAATTGGCCCTGGCAGCCGAAAAGGAAGAGGACCAGAAGGCGAGGAGGAAGTATGGAACCGATCGGTGGACACGACCAGAAAGCCAGAGTGACGCCCAAGGCGGAAAGCTGTGGGGACACGCTGGTGAGATTGAAGGGTATTTTGCGAGCAGCGCCAGCAGCGACGGTGTCGTACGGGAAAAGTTTACCGCCAACGAGGGTCTGCTACACATTTTGTGCGGATCGGACAGGGGCCTGATGGATTTCGTGCCATCGAGCTCGCAGCGGGACACGAACCCCGAGCTGAAGGCATCCGTCGGCAAACTACGGAGTGCATACAACGACATCCTCAGGCTCGAAAGCAGAAGAAGGAAAAAGGTCGAGGCGCTGCGCGAGAATGCGCGCAAAGACGACATCAAGCCGGATATCCTGAAGGAGGCTGCCAGGTTAGAGAGAACGTACCCTTCGACTGCGATTGTTCCGGCTCACTTTGAGGACTTTTTCGAAAAGCGCCTGGATCAGTTATATGAGCCCGAGCTGGACGCTCTGGACAAAGAGTCGGCCGAGCAGGAAAGACTGCTGAAGGAGGTGGAACGGGCAAACGCGGAATTCGAGGCCCAGAAACGCAGATGCGGCGACCGAGGGTCTCGAGAGCGAGAACAGGCATTGCAGAAGCTGGATAGTGCATATTTCAAGTACAAGGAAATCATCAACAACCTAGAAGTGGGCAGGAAGTTTTACAACGACCTGAACAAGATTGTCGGGCAGGGTTTCCGAGATGTCGTCAAAGGCTGGGTCGCACAACGGCGCATGGAGGCCAGGGTGCTGGAAGAGTGAGTTCAAGTTTCCCCCTGTCCAGTTCTGAGATGATGCATCACTTGCTCAACACGGCCGTGCGCAGAGAACTCAGCATGCCGCCACTGTCGACGCTCAACTTGTCCCACAACCACACGCCCTTGCAAAGATCTTTGAGTTCTTCGGCCGCAACGCAGTACCGACCACGACAGCCTTCTTACTTTGCACCTGAGCCGGTCGCACCGCAACATGCAACGTTGCCCCAGGGACAGCACGAGCATGCAACAAGGCAGCCGATGTCGAACCCGGTTGAAGCGTCGATACAGTCTTGGGCCGGGGATACGGTACAGCAGCCACAACCCATGGCGCCGCAGGCAACAAGCCCAATGACGACCATGTGGAATCCGGCCATGGGGATCAAATTTGGCGGCAGTACTACCAGTGGTCCGCCGGCACCAGGGACGGATCGCGGACAACAAGCAGGCAGCGGATCAACAACCTGGAATGCCGCGTCGGGCATCAAGTTTGGCTGATGCAGCGCCGGTAGCAGACGGAGCTGGGAACACGGGGCAAGGGGAAAGGGGACATGAGACGGGCATCTACTACTCTCCAACTTCAGTAGCCCCTATCAGAACACATGTATCGAGCCCAAGGGCAGTGCATGCAGACTGACCGGGGAAGGTACATGTGACTTTGCAATGCTCATTGGAGTGATGACTCTCTAGTACATGAGCCAAGGATGCGTCCTACGTGCTTGGTTAGTCCGAATTTCCTTGTACAGTGTCCGAGACACATGTCGCTCAGCACTTGTCTGGAGTACGGGCGGCAGGCCCTCTCGACCGGCTCCGATGTTTGAATTCCTTCTTGGCGCGTTGAACAGGACGTTGAGGAGACGCTGAGCAACACCGCAGGTAGTCGGTGCAGCGGGCGAATGGGTGCAGAGATTGCACCGCCGTCATGTCGTGTGCGGGCGTCATGAATCACCGACGGGGGAGCACACGCTGCAAGACACGCGAGCAGGCTGGGTTGGGGAAACAGGCCCGGTCTGTAGCTGCCAACGGGTAAAAACAAGAGAGGAGGAAGAGACAACGAAGAAAAAATGATCAAACACCATATTGACGTCGATTAGCCAAGAGGTGGCGGCACGGCGCTACGCTGCGACGACAAAGCAAACGCCGTGGCCTCGGCCGCCGCCGCCGCCGCGCCGCCGCGAATTTCCGAGGGGGTAGATCTATTCTGTCATTTTGCTTTTTTCCCCTCTTCTCATCAGCGGGATTTCGTCAAAGCACCAGGCGCTTCTTCCTGTCTCGCCTCGGGCTGCGCCAAGTTGCGGTGCCGCGGGTGGCGGCTACGACGGCCAAGGCCAAGCAAGGAACAATAGGAGACTATTTGCCGGGCCCAGGGTGAGACTTGACGTTGCGCCAGACCAAAGGAAGCACGTTATTGTTGTCTGCCTAGTCGGGTCATTCATTGTTCTTGGAGGCAGGCGACGACAATGCGCGCTCCGTCCCCGCGCGGCCAACCGGGACTGCGAAATTCCGCCACGTCACAAGTCAATCGCCTTTTGAGAGCGTGTGAATAGGAAGACCCGGGAGCTTGGGTGGGGCCTGGCCGGCAGAGCTCCCGCGACGACGACTGACGACCCGGCATTGACCTTTGCTGCTGCTGCTGCTGCGGTGGCAGTCGTCCGTCGCGGCAAGTGGCCGCCGTCGAGGGCGTGGTGTATCGCGAGGCCATGTTGCTTCCTTGCTCCTGCGTGCTGGCGGACGGACGGTGAAGACGCAATGAACCAGCCGAGTGGATTGGGAAGTACACGGAACCGGCATACGGAGCCCCAGACCGATGACTATAGCTATAGCTCTAGCTGGAGCTGGAGCCGGAGCTCTAGCTGCAGCCACAGCAGCCAGAGTGCCGCTGACAAAGGCGGCAGCAGATGCTGTGAAATCGTCATGTGGCTTGCCAAAGATCACAGCGAGGGCTGTGCGAGGGCGAGGGAGCAGACTGCACTCCCGGCGCCGTGGTACATGTACACACTCCACGAGGGTCGCTCCGCTGCACCCCGTCCTGGAGACCAAGCACCTAGATGTACTCCTTGGGGGGCGTGAAATGACGACCTTGGCTGGCTGCTTCACGGGTCCCTCGGCGTCGCTCGTGGCATGGCAGATTTGTATTGTGGCCGGTGGCTAGGGAGTTCAGCCGCGCCGGCGTGAGCTAATGAGATATCTGGTGGAAAAGCCTCGCAACGGGGAACACGAAAAAAAAAAAAGAGAGGACATGCCAGTGTCTGACATGCCCTCCCACAAACCCCAAAGCGCCCGTCGGTCTTGATCTACAACGACGTCGTCCAGGCGAGACTCTCACAAAGCACCAGACGTTCACCAGAAACCATGGCCGCATCTACGGCTGGCATCATGCTGCTGCTTCTACTTGGCGGCATCGCCTATTTTCTCCTGCTTGTCGCCTATCGTTTGTGCCTGCACCCCTTGGCCGGCTTCCCGGGGCCCAAGCTAGCCGCGGCCAGCAGCTGGTACGAGTTTTATCACGACGTCATCGGCCGAGGCGTGTTTTGCTGGGAGATTAAGCGCATGCATGACAGATACGGTATGGCGTCCTGCTCGTCCGGATGGGAAACAACAGGCAATAGATGCGTGCAAGTGCTGACCCGGGCCGACTGCCCGCCTCGCCAGGCCCCATCGTCCGGATCAACCCGGACGAGCTTCACATCCTCGACACGAGCTTCTACGAGGAGATTTACGCGCCGGCGTCCAAGAAGCGCGACAAGTACGCCGACTACGTGGTGTTCCTGGGGGTGCCGACGGGCGCGTTCGCGACGTGCCCGCACGACCACCACCGGGTGCGGCGCAAGGCCCTCAACGTGTCCTTTTCCAAAAGGGCCATCTACGAGGCCGAGGGCCTGGTCCGGAACAAGGTGCGCCTCCTCTGCGCGCGCCTCGGGGGCATCGCGCGGGCCGACGGGGTCGTGCGGCTCGACGCGGCCCTGTTCGCGCTCGCCAACGACATCATCACCGAGTACAGCTTCGGGGAGGGCTACGACTGCCTGGGCAAGGACGACTTCCAGGCCGACTTCAAGGGCGTGCTGCTGACGGCGGTCGAGGCCGGCGCCTTTATCCGGCAGTTCCCCTGGGCGGTCGGGGTGGTCAAGGCCATGCCGCCGGCCGTGCTGCGCCGCGTCAGCGCCGCCTTTGCGAGCCTGCTGCAGTGGGAGGCCATTGTCGACAAGAGGGTCAGGACGCTGGTGGCGGCGCATGGGGGCGACGAGAAGAAGAAGGGGGAGGAGCCGCCGCCGCCGGCCGCCGCCGACAGGTGCGTCTTCACGACGCTGCTCAACAGCGACCTGCCGGCCGCGGAGAAGTCGTACCAGCGCCTGAGCGACGAGGGCAAGTCGCTCATGGGCGCGGGCAGCGAGACGACGTCGTGGACCCTGACGCTGCTCCTGTGGTACGTCGCGCGCGACGCCCGCATCCTGTCGAGGCTGCGCGAGGAGCTGAGAGACATGCCGGGCGGCGACGGCGGCGACGGCGGCGGCTCGCTGCTGAAATGGCTCGAGCAGAGGCGGTACCTGGTGAGTCGGCCAACACACGGCCCAGCCCGTGCCGTGCCGCGATGTACATTACATACATGCATGCTGACGAGACGTGCCCCCAGAGCGCCGTGGTCAACGAGGCGTTGCGCTTCGACCACGGCGCCATCGGCCGGCTGCCGCGCATCGCGCGCGAGCCGCTGCGGTACAGAGACTGGGTCGTGCCAGCCGGGGTGAGTCGTCGCGTCGCCGGGAGAGAGAGAGAGAGGGATCGCTGGCCCGGCTGACCTGGGCACAGACGCCGCTGAGCTCGACCAACTACTGGGTGCACATGGACGAGAGCATCTTCCCCGATCCGCACCGCTTTTCGCCCGAGAGGTGGCTCGACGCCGAGCGCGCCGGCTTCCCTCTGCAGAAGTACCTGGTGTCCTTTTCCAAGGGCAGCCGGCAGTGCGTTGGCCAAAAGTAAGCCCCCCCCCCCCTTTTCCCCCCTCTCCTTGTCCTTCTCCTGCTCGACTCACGGCCCGGGACGTCGACGCCTTGGAGCGTCTGTTTGCTGACGTTGCGTAGTCTTGCCACTGCCGAGCTGTACCTCACGGCGGCGGCGCTGCTTGCGCGCTTCGACTTTGAGTTTGTCGACACCACGGAGCGGGACGTCTTGCCGGCGCGCGACTGCTTCATCCCGCGGCCAGTGGTCGGGTCGCGCGGCGTGTACGCCAAGGTCGTGGACAGGGATGGCTCGGCTCTGCAATGAAGGGGATGAAGGGGCTGGGGGATTGGACGGGTTGGGATTCGTTTTTCTGGGAACCGTTTTTCTTGGCTCGTCGCTGGTCTACAGGGAGAGGGGTCGGGATGTGCCGCCGGGTTTTTCAAGTCTTGCTTTCCATCTTGCGACTGGGCTTTGGGCTGGCGAGGAGGGCAGACAGGGGATCGGTCAGTCAGTCGCCGCAGAGCGAACGGGAGGGCTTGATGAATTCAAGACATGTGATGTGCAGTCTGTATACGTGCCGAAGCTTGTGTTGGAAAGCAGTAACTGTACTATACTAAAGACATTGATTGATTGATGCGCGTGGTATATCCCGGGCGAGGCTTTTTTCCTTTTCTTCCCTTTCCTCCTTTTTTGATTGTGCCCAAGACTACGCGCCGTCGTGCATCAGACGGGCCCGTGTCGAATCTCAGATGCCAGATATCAGGCAGGGCGCGGCTGAAGCGGGAAGCAAGAGCAGAGAAAGAGGGAGAGACGAGAGCAGAGCAGACGGGTTGCCCAAGACACGGGGGCGTGGTATATCGGAAGCAGGACGAGAAGAGCAAGCAGACGGTTTTTTCTCTTTTTCTCTTTTTCTCTTTTTCCCTCCCCGACGGCCGCACGGGCGGCGACGCGTCAGGCACAGGGGCCGTAGGCCATGATGAGGGCGTCGACGGTGTGGTAGGCAACGTAGGGCAGGGCCATGCTCAGGCGGCCGTAGGCAATGGCGAACCTGTAGACGTCGGGGGTGATGCGGCCCTGGCGGCCGAGCAGCTCGCCGGCCTGGCGGAACAGGTCGTCGGAGCGGCGGTCGAAGCGGCGGCCCCAGCCGGGCTCCTTGCCGGGGGCCAGCAGCTGGGCGTGCCACAGGTCGTGGATGCGGCCGACGAGGCGGGCGAGGTCGCCGCGCACGCCGGTGACCTGGGCGCGGGCGCGGCGCAGCAGGTCCCGGGTGCAGGACCAGAAGCGGTCGGCGCCGTGGCGCGCGACGTAGGCCTCGAGCACCTCGAAGATGCGGCGGTGGCGGGCGCGGCAGAAGCTGTAGGGCGGCGAGGTGGCGGCGATGCGGCCGTCCTCGCGGCCGCCGAGGCGCGCGCGCTTGTGGCCGCGGAACAGCTCGCACAGCATGCCGGCCAGGACCGTGGCCATGGTGTCGAGGGCGCGGTCGAGGCCGCGGCCGCTCGGGTACAGCAGCCGCAGCAGGTTGCGCGTCTCGCCCGTCAGCATGTCCGTGTGCAGGTCCATGACGTCGTTGGGCACGGCGGAGCCGACGAGCGCGTCCATGCCGGCGTCGTCGAGGTAGGCGGCGCCGTCGCTGCACATGTAGGCCGAGCCGATGGTGTCGAAGCCGCGCGCCGCCGTCAGCAGGCGCGGGTCCAGGCCGGTGGCGATGTGCGACGCGCGCGGCGTCGTCAGCGCCCGCGCGTTCTCCGTCCCGTTCATGGCCGCGAGGTAGCCGAGCGAGACGCGCCAGAAGCTCCGGTCCCGGCCCGAGAGCCCGTCGTCCAGCCCCGGCACCGCCGCCCGCGCCGCCTCCTCAAAGGCCCGGAACCGCTCGCTGTACGCGTTGGCGCCGCGCGCCCAGTTGACCCCCGTCAGCGCCGCGTACACGTAGTTCTCGCGCGACGAGTCGGCCTCGAGCCCGAACGCCTGGCACATCATGAGGTAGAAGGGGAACTGCGCGATGATGGGCGGGTCGCACTCGAGCCCCGTGAGCAGCCGGCCCCAGGGCGCGAAGTGCTCGTCGCGCGCCGCCCGCGACGAGTGGAATTCCGCCTGCACCGCGCCCGCGTTGCCGTTGTCGTGCGCCGCCAGCAGGATCTCGGCCCCGACCTCGAGCGTCACCTGGTACGTCAGCTCCACGAGGTCCAGGTCGTGGAGGCCGCTTGCCGCCGCGCGCTCGCGCTCGAGCAGCGCGTGGAACTCGGCCCCGAACGGCCGCACGAGCTCCGTGCACCGCGCCGACGGCCGGTAGCTGGCAAAGGCCTCGCGAACCCAGCCCGCGAGCCGCGACGTGAGCGGGAAGCGCCCGATCCGCCGCCCTCCGCGCGCGGCCAAGGGGGACGGCCGGAGCTGCACCTCGCTGCGGCTCCAGTACCGGCGGCTGAAGGGCTCCTGGCCGCGGACGTCGTCGTAGTCGTCGTCGTCGTCGTCGTCCTTGCCGGACCGGCGTGCCTCTCGCCGAGCGTCCGGGCCGCCGGACTTGAGGCAGCGCAGGCCGAGGCCGGTGTAGCGCATCTTGCGCGTGTTGATGACGCCAGCCGTGGCCGTGGCCGTCTCCGTCTCGACGTCCATCTCGGCCGGTCTCGCTTCGAGTGACGGCATTGACGGCGAGCTGGGGGCCTGAGTCAAAGGTGGGAGGAGGAGGAAATGTGCCACAAGATACAAGTAAGCAGGGTCCAGGTGTCACCAGGTCCACGACGGCCTGATGCCCGCGAGCTCTCTGTGGACGGACATGATGCCGACGAGCTGGCCACGAGCGCTGCGCGAGCTTTAAATTCTCGTCCCCTCGATCCCGGGCGTCCCGTGGCTTCCGCAGCTTCGCCGCCCAACCGTCTATCCCCCAGCTCCAGAGTCTTGTCGAACCCTCGAGTGGGTGCGCGGCGCCGTCGCCGTGGCTCCCTCCCACGCGCAGATCTGTATATGAGGCTCCTTTGTATGCCCTCGTCTGAAGACGACAAAACAAAAACCAAACGGCAACGTACCGCCTCCCTGGCCAGCAAGCTCCCCCAAACGCCGCTCCAGCTTGATAGCTTGTCTTGTCTGGATTGTCCCGGCGCCGCGTCTGCCCACAGGAGCTTGCCATGACGTCCCATGAGCGATTGCTGCGGCGCAGACATGACAGATTTCACCCGAGAGCCGCCAGATCGACATCGTGCTGAGGTGGCTTTCCATGCACCGTCTCGAGTTGAATACACGCCGCGGCGCCCTTGGCAGCCACAACCCAAAAACGCCGCTCGCGTCTTTCTCGTGGCGGGGAGGGTACGTGTAGCACAAGCCGGCGCTGCTTTCTAATCAAACCACACGACGGCAAAACACCTGAGCTTGCGCGGTCTGCGCCGTCGGCTCCCTCTCGTGGGGATCTGGCCCAGCCGTGGCTTCGAGCACGGAGCACCAGGTCGTCGGTGCCCTATTCACGAGCCTCAACAATAGCAACGCACAATGCTTGGTAGGACCTCTTCATCTTGGCCTGTATTGGCGCCTTCGCTTGGCGTCTTTTGTCGATTCACCGTCGTGGGCGGGGAACAATCCGTGCGCCGCGCCCTGTCCGCACCGAGGCTTTGCAAAAGAGACGCTTGACAATGGAGGCCTTGTTGCCATTGCGGCTGATGGCGCGGTGAGGGCAAGACATTCATCCATTCCCCCAGCTCGATTCACCGTCTTGGAAGGGCCGTCAAATTATATACCGGAAAGCGAGTCTAGTCTACATACACGCGGTTACGAGGTCACATGGCGACGACGTCAGAAAGGCCCCCCTGCATGTCTCGCCTCGCCTCGCCTCGTCTCGTTCTGGCCTGGAGACGATTCGCACGTGGCAGCGTGGTAGTCGGCGCAGAGCTGCCCGTGGCGACCCGACGTGTGCGTCATACGACTCATTTCTGAGACAAGGCAAGCCGGCCGCCGACGTATCAGAGCCGCGGCTTGACGTTGTCGCCAAAGGTCCATCCCCGGGACCCGTCCCAGTTGATGGACCACGCCATGAGGCCCTTGAGCGATCCGTTGTAGTGATCCCACGCCTGCCCGACCAGGCCGGGCGCCATGAATCCGGCGCCGGCGCCCGGCTGCGCGGGCAACCCGGGAACCTGCATGCCGTAGGGGACCCGGACCGTGGTGCCCTGGACCACGAGCCCCTTGTCCAGGCAGTCCGTCTGGGCGACGAAGCCCCGGACCGTGCCGGCCGGGTACGCGTCTCCCGCGCACCCGTACATCTCGCCGTTGTAGTACTGCATGTTGAGCCACCACAGCCGGCCGCTGTCGGCGTACCTCTTGATGACGGGCAGGTAGGCGCCCCAGACGGACCCGTACGTGACGCCGCCGCCCGTCACGTAGGCCGTCTCGGGGGCCATGGTCAGGCCAAAGTTGGGCGGCATGCGGCCGAGGATGCCGTCGATGATGCGCATCAGGTTGGCCTGGGACGCCGACGGCGCGTCGATGCTGCCGCCGCCGCTGAGGCCCGTCTCGATGTCGATGTCGACCCCGTCAAAGTTGTACCTCTTGAGGATCGGGACAATGGTCGACACGAACCTGTCGGCGACGGCCGCCGAGCCGAGGTCGATGCCCGCGGCCGCGCCGCCCACGGACAGGAGCACCGTCGCGCCCGCCGCCTTGGCCCGGCACACCTCCGCCGGCGTCGCGACCCTGACGTCGGCGTCCATGCCGTCCTCCCACAGGGCTGTGCCGTCGGGCAGGATCACGGGGAACGCGGCGCTGATCACGTTGTACCCGTGCCGCCGGATCTGCGCGTCGTCGATGGGCGTCCAGCCGAGGGGGGGGTGGACGCCGTTCTTCGACCCGTCCCAGTTCTCCCAGTATCCCTGGAGGACCTTGCCCGCCGGCTTCCCCTTTGTCGCGCACCACGTTTCGTTTTGGTCCTGCGCAAGAGCCAGCGTGGGACCGAGGAGCGTGGACGGCATCAAGGCTGGCAGCAGTGCCATGACGAGACGCCCGCTGACGGAGGCGCCCATGTTGAGATGGCTCGGAGACGATGCCCTCTCCCTCTGCCGCTGCTTCTGGTCGGGTCACGAGTCAATCTTTCCACTGGTGAGCCCACGGGGAACGTTGTTTCGAGAGTCGTCTCTTCCCAGTGCCAAAGCCCGGGGCGAGCTGACCGCTTATATCTCACATCGCCCTTGGCCAGCCAACTTGTCGACTTGGCCCGTCTTGCTGGTCGTCACACGGCCGTGTCTCCCTGACATGTTGCATGTTGCATGTTGCATGTCGGACAGGCGGATGCAAATCCTGCCGTGGACTGGAATCCTTCAGCCGTCATGACCCCAATCCAACCCTCCCCTTTGGCCCCCCCCCGAGCGGCGCAACGTAGGATAGACTGCTGGCGTCGACAACCGTCTCGTGAACTAGCAGGCCGAGAGCCAAAGTGGAGACCACGTTCACGTTCGCCGGCGAGGGCCCCGATAAGAATGTTTCACAGGGAACGGGAGATGGATTCGTGGTTTGAGACCGCATGACCACATCCCCAGTTAGGCAAGTAACATCAGGACTGTCGTCTCGACCCAAGCCGCACGTGCACTTGCACTCCTGCCAAGGGACACACTCGCTATTGATCATGGGATCTACGCTGCTCCTACGCGTGTCGCGAGCGTCGGCCGAGCTGGGGGTCGATCACGATTCACCACTCTACACTCTAGCCGCCGGGGGTTTCACGGTCTCGTCTGCCGTGTCTTCTCCTCTGTCCCGCCTACACGTTAAACTGACTGGCCGTCGGTGCTTGCGCAAGCAGCGCATCGAGCCGTGACCTACTTCAGCTCGAGCATGCTTCAAGCTCCCGCCGAGCAGATACGCCGTGGCCACTGCTCTGGTTCCCGCTCAAGATATTAAGACGGTCGTCGGGTTACGCGGACCTTGCGGCCGACCACAGCAACGTCTCACCCGCAGAAGTAGCCCAGTGAATCGAGGCTGCGGCTGTGATGATGCCCCCGGGCCGCTTGCAGGCCTACCATGCAAGGGGTGCTCTGAAATTTCATTAGCCATTTGCTTCTGTAAATAATTTCCTATGGAAACGCATCCGTTGCAAGACCAAAGGTCTGGGCCGTGCCCAGCATCAGACGATGCACGCGCGGAACCCGTACGGCGCCAGATGAAACAAACAAGTATAGGGGACTTGTTCAATACGTAAACCTTTTAGCTTCGCCGTCGGCGAGACGAGAGGCCAAGGGGTCGGCTATAGCTCGACCGGGCGAGTCTACACCGGTGCTTTTTGCTTTTTGCTATATTCACTACTGTCTCGGTAGATTCTATAGTTATCAAAGACTTGATAGGTCAGCTGGTGAGAGTCAGTTGCAATATATTAATAATATTCTTCTCAAAGCACCATCAACACGTTGCGAGAAAAGTATAAAAAGAAAGAAAAAAGTCAGATGCTAATGTAATGCTAATGTATTAGAAAAATCTTTTACCTAAGAGGTGCTTTGCTACCGAGAAGCTCGGCCAATAAAGTTTCAAGACGAGCAACCCCCATCCTCGCCTACTCGCCCCCTAGAAGGGTCGAGGAAACCAAGCCAAGCCGACTCAGTCGCCGCCAGGAAGCAACCTGCGATGACGCAGCGCGAATGGAGAGCCGGGCCCGTCCCCGTCTGCCGAAGCACATGTAAACTCTGTGTCGTATGACGCTGCTGTGCCGCGCGCTTCTCGCGACGACGTATAAGTGAGGCCCTGCCCGGCACACACGGCCTACGAGGATCGGAGCGGTAGACCAACGCCCACAGCCGCCATTCGACAGACAAACGTGCCAACATGAAGCTCTCGCTCGCCTCCTCTCTTGTCTACCTGGCCGCCGGGGCCTACTCTTCAGTCGCTGCGCCGCCGCGAGGGCCGTCTCTCGCACGCCGCGACTACGACACGGCTATATCGGTACTGACGAGTGTAAAGGACGGCTTCGGCTCGGTCGCAGATGCCGCAAGGAACTTCGAGCACGACGCTGGGCCTCTGAAGGAAGCCACATCGCGCCTCCTGGCCGAAGTTGACTCTGGCACTGCGAAAATCACCGGCATGAGAACCTTGACCACCTGGGATTGCCTTTACTTGGTCCCCCTGGGAAGAGGTGTCCAAAATGGAGCCTCGAGCCTCGCAGACAACCTCGAGGCGGAAAAGGACGCCTTTGAGCAGCATAACCAGTGCGCAACCGTGCACAGCCTTCTCCGTCTCGGTGTCGGTGCCAGCACCGAACTGGTTGATGCCATTGCGGCCAAGGTTCCGAAATATTTAAGAACAACAGTCGAGACGCAAGGAAGTGTGATTTCTCAGCATCTCGAGCGTGCCCAGGAGATGTTTGCGCCGGAGAACTGTGTCGATTCCCAGCTTGTTCGGTGAGCGGCCGTCAGCGGCTTGGCCGGACGGGCGCGGTCAGACTGTGTCGAAGGGATGGGGGAGAGGGGAAGGGCGCTTCTGTGAGGCTTGAAAAGGAGTCTTCCTCCTCTGAGCCGTTTCTGTCTGTCTACGGCGTCACATCTCACAACCACATCGCGCTCGTGTACCGATAGTCCATAGTCTGGCGTAGGATACGGCGGGCAGCCAGCCGATGACTGCGGCAATAGGACCCCAGTACTGTTCGCGACTACTGAACGCTTGTGCGGGAGCCCAGAGCAATGACGGCTGCGTGTTTGACTTTTGGTAACCTGTCGTGACGGGCGGTGTCGCGTTGACAGGGGCGGGTGGAGGCCCGGGAACACGGCTTGTATTTGATGGCCGCTGGCTCTTGATGTGGGACGTTCACTTTCGAAGAGACTGACGAAGCCACGGTGTTTGCTCAACAGTAGTGTTTGTAAAGAAGGCCAAGTAGATGGGGGCATGGCGTGCGGTGTCGGGGGGGGGGGCAACCTGTAGGGAGTCTTGCGGTTGTTCAAATCATCTCTTTAGTTGCAAATAAAACAACTGACTTAGATTCGCGATTGTCCACTGCCTCCTCGGTACTTGGCTGAAGTTGAGCAACAAGTAACTAACAAAAAGAGACATGGGTTTCTCGAGTGCCAAGTGTGATGGTGTTGTGGAGGGTTACCCGATGACTGCATCTGCAACGCCATTGACATCGGGGGGGGGGGGGTTCCCAGGGGCTTTCGCTCTCGTGGCACGTAACATGGAAGCCTGCGTTCGAAATCCACGACGACTCAGGCACAGACGTCGCAAACGTGAGCTGGCCGGCACGGCTCGGGGGAAGCGACGTGCTCGGCGAGATGGGAGCCGCAGATTGTCGCCGACGCCAAGAGGCGAGCGCCCTTCGCGGCGTCCCTTCTTGACGGATTGTCGTTGGCCTCGCCGCGCTCCTTGGCACACATCGACATGGACTCCCTGGCTTGGCGACGCCGTGCTGACTGGTCTGGTGGCAAGCCCGGATCAGGGGCATCGGGGCCCGTTTCTCACCGAGGTGGGACGGAGTACTGTCCTGGACCAAGGCAAAAGGATGGATGGTCAGATTGCCGGCTGGAAGACGGGGATGAACGAGTGCGGGAACGGGGTTTGCCGCAAGTCGTACGCGTGGAGCTCAAACTGCGTCGTCAGCACCAACACGGCAGTCCAGGGGGGGCTCACTCGGACAAGGTGCAAGGGCATCGAGTATTGTTTCGCTCCGCCAGGTAGTTGGCGGTCTACGGCCAAGACTGGAGCTTGGGTGTGACGGCTGTCTGTCGTCGAGTTCATCAGTCAATTTGCCAGTCGCCCGGCTTGTGTTTGGAACTGTCACGGTTTAGATGGACAATGTCTGAACTGTCGATGCCACATGCCTGCCGCCTTTTCCCTTGTTTTGAATGCCATTCTTTCTCCCTTCCCTCGGACCCCCTTCCCGCGGTAGTTGAATACCTCATGTGCCCGGTTGCCCTCGCCTCGAATCCTCGTCCACTCAGGCCGTGATCTGATACGTCGTCAAGACTGCCCTGTGGTCCGACGTCCACTCGTTGTTGGCGTGGTTCGGCTCCGCCGTCGGGTTGCCCACCAGCACGGCCTCGGAATCCAGCACGGCGAGCTTGCGGCCTCTGTGATAGACAAAGTCGATGCGGTCCAGGGGCTCCGGCCGGCCCTCGTTGCTCAGGTAGATGGGCGACCAGGTGATGCCGGGGCTCGCCGCGGGATCGGGGTGGACGTGCCGGAACGAGTCGACCAGCCCGGCGTCGGCCGGGTACTTGGACGACGGCCACGGGACCTGGCCGACGCCGCAGTGCCGGCCGCTGGTGGCCTCGGTCCAGTCCAGGTGAGACGGGGCGTTGAAGTCTCCCAGCAGGAAGACGGGCACGTTGTCCGCGTCCGCGATGTGGCCCCCCATCTTGCGCGTAATCTCCTCGATCTGGGGGGTGCGCCCCGACTCGGCCTCTCGCTCCATGACCCGGCCGACGCTCATCCTGTCGAAGCAAAAGTCGTACGGGCCGTAGGGGTCGTAGCCGAGGTGTGCGTTCCAGACGACGATGTCGCTCTTGCCCGGGTCCAGCGAGATCGTGACCGAGCCCGACACCGACGTCGCCGCGTTCACCCGCGTGATGGGATACCGACTGATGACGGAGACGTCGGGACCCTGCCACGAGTACCAGTTCAGGGCGCGGGCGAGGCGGGCGCCGTGGCCGCCGGTGCTCTCCTGGAACCCGACCACGTCGACGTTCTTGTCCACCAGGAAGCGCACCTGCTTCTCGTGGTAGTTGCTCACCTGCGTGCCGCCGTGCCAGAGATTAAAGGACAGGATTCGAAGCCTGTCGACGAGCGAGGCGCCCGCGGGCCGCACGGGGATGTGCACCGACGCCGACGCCGCGACGCCGTGCTTGTCCCGTGCCTCGACGTGCAGCGTGGTGTCGGCGGCGCCGGACGGGGGCGTGCCGCTTATCACGCCCGAGGGGCTGATGACGGCCCAGCCTGCGTCTCCGACGATGCTGAAGCGCGTGTCTCCGTCGCCGGGCTGGGTGACGAGGTTGGCGAGGCTGGCTTCAAACCTGTCACCCTGACGGGCGTTGTGCGTCGTGACGTCTCTCACGATGAAGCCGAACGCCTCGGAGCTCCGCAGGTGCGCGTTGACGGGCTGGGACAGCCACGTGTAGCCGCCGTCGGCAAGGAAGAAGACCCTATACTCTCCCGGGCTGAGGTTCTTGCTGGACAGGGTGACCTCTCCCACACGCTCGGGAGCCCACTCCCAAGCCAGGGAGGGCTGGACCTGGACCTGGTCCACGGGGCCTCCGCCGTCGGCAGAGTACAGGCCGATCCAGTTTTTGGCGCCGGGCCGCGTCGTGGTATACTTGACGTTGATGGGGGTTCTGCTGTAGTCGACGCTGATGGAGCCGGGGTATCTGGACGACTCGCCCAGGGAGAACCGCACCGCGGCGGCAAGAGACTTGTACTTGTCGTCGGCCAAGAAGTAGGCCTTGTACTCGCCGGGCCCGAGTCCGTCATTGTCGAACTTGACGGAGCCCTGGGCACCGGGCGCGTACGACCACCGGATGGAAGGCTGGTCGAGCTCGCCGTTGTCGGGGCCACCCCCGGAGGCATAGTAAAGGCCGACCCAGTTCCGGGGGCTCGGCGCCGAGGTTGTGTACCTGAGCTCGAGCGGACTTGCTGATGCCAGGGCCAGAGATCCTGGCTCTGCCAGAGCCAGACGTCCCGAGGTCACAGCACAGCCGACAAGACTTGCATCAAAGGCGAGGCCTAACAGGGCGGCCCGGAAGAGCCGAAGCATGATTGACGGCACAAGGTGAAGAAGAATGCGAGCGAAGGGCCGGTGAGCAAAGACTTGTTTGTTCTGCCAGGATCTCGTTGGCCGGCAACGTGTCAGTTTACGTGCTTGGCAGGGAGCAATTTATATGCACGACCGGGAGCGCCTCCGGCCTTCTACGACGACGACGACGACGACGAACGACGACGACGACGACGACATGCCATGCCAACCAACTCGAACCGGCTGCAGCCCGTGACTGACGGCCAGGGGCACATGGCGGCTTGCGCGCGCGGAGAGCGCAGAGCAGCAGGTGAGCTCACCACGACACGGAGCCGGAGGCGATGGTGGCGCAACAAGACGCCGTTTGGATTGCCGCGCCGCACCCGGCTGCCCGCAACGTGGACCGATTCCTGTGGAGAAACAAGCATGGGACATGTCCAATCTGCATCTGCATCTACGCCACGAGGGCGATGCGCACGAATCACAGGTTACACGCTTGCAGGTGGGTGAAATCCGCAGTGACCTCGAGTCCAGAGCCCCAGACGCAACACCAACACCGGCACCTTGCAAGGCCCAACTAGTCACCAGCACGTATTGTCACGAGGGACCACGACGCCGTCTCCTCCTGCCCGCCTGGCCGGCAGCAGGCGTGAGAACAACAAGACGCCGGAACCTCGCACGTGCGTTGCGTCCTCCCCCGGCACTGGCTGTCGAGGCCGTCATCCTGCCGACACATGGCCTGGCCCAAGCCGCTGCCAAGACAGACACGGATCGCTTGCCCAAGGCCCGTGGTCCTCTGACGTCGGGGTCGAGCAGTAGCAAGGGCCAGGCGGAAGTCTAGGTCGTTCTTTTGGCGGAAGAAGCCGCGGACTCGGAACCGCAAAAGTCGTGCGTTTCCGGAGCACGCGTCTCCTGCAACGCACTTGCTTGGCTGTTTTAGGTCTGCGCGCCAACTTGCTGCACGTGGGCTGCGTGGGCCGCTTCCACGACGGCGCGGGAGGCCATGTCATGTCCGTGCCAAGAGAAGACAAGGGGGATGGCATGCACGAACAGGGACTCTGTCACCGGCGAAAGCTTGCCGTCCGGATGGGGCTGAAACAGGCGAGCGTCCGTCTGTCTTGATCTGGGGCTCAAGCGTCGCGAGTCTCGGGAGTGCTTGGTGTACATTGTGTCATTCATTATAGCTAGCTGTGCCGCGGACGGCCCTTTGCTCTGTTCACGACCACATCGTGGAAACACGACGACGCGGCAATTGTTATTCTTTCCTCTCCTCGCCACCTTTCTATTCCTTCCTCTCCTCGCCGCTGCCCACGCAGCAAGCAAGCAAGCAAGTGCCAGCCACTTGCTGGCGCTACAGCCCCTTGGCCCAGCCGAGACGGTTGTTGCCATCGTCAAAGACGACAAAGGCAGACTTGAGGGCGACGTCGCCAAAGATGGCCAGCCCGTTCAGGCCGCTGTAGTACCCGATGCCGCCTATGCAGGTCAAGCCGTCGTTGACGCCAAAGTTGATGTCCTTGCCGGGGACGGTGATCCGGCCGGACGGACCGACGCCAAAGACAAAGTCGGGCAGGGCGGCGTCGCAGGGGAACAGCCAGACGTAGCCCGCGTTGTTCGGGAGACTGGTCCGCTGGGCGCCGGGGACGGCGGCCCAGTACGTCCCGGCGGCCGGCAGGGGGAGCACGAGAAGCGAGGTGCCCGTGTCTGCGGTTCCCTTGAACGCGGTGGCGTCGAAGCTTCCGTTGCCGACGGCGTAGCCGGTGGAGGAGAAGAGCCGGTGGCCGAGGTCGTCGGTCGAAGCGTCCGTGTAGCTGATGTTGCCCGTGTACTGCGACTCGTCGATGTAGCCAAAGTTGTAGGACCCGGCTGCGGGTTGGTCAGCGCGCGTTTGCCATGTTGCACAGAGAGGGCGATACTCACGGGCCTGGTGTCTCAGCCGTACCGTGAACAGAGGCTGGGCAAGGCTGGGGAGCACGTTGGAGAACCACGTCTTCTGCTTGTCCGGGCGGACCGTGTTGCCCTGGTCGTAGGCCAGGCCGAGGACGCCCGAGTTCTGGGCGTCGGAGCTGAAGGACTGCGACACGTTCTGGGCCGACTCGACGGCCTGCCCGTCCACCGAGACGCCGCCTATCGTCACGACGTCGGTGTAGACGATGCCGCCCGAGGTGCTGTCGTCGACGTAGTGGATGGCCCACGTCTCTCCCTCCTGCTTCTCGGCCGACGAGCTGCCGCCGGGCTGGTAGAGCGTCTGGCCGTTGACCTCGCTCGCGTTGGTGTCGCCGCTGAACACCCACAGGTCGCTCGAGCCCGTGTCAAAGTCCAGCTGGAGCGTCTGGGGAGGCGTGCCGATGCTGACCTGGGTGAGATACAGGCTGTCATAGCCGCCGTCGTTGGGCTCGGGGCTCGTCACGACGGTGGCGTTGTCGCCCCCTGGCTGCGGCACGGCAGACCCCAGGGCAGCCACCGTCTTCGCGTCGAGGAACTTGTCTGCGACGCGCTTTACGTCTTGGAGGACGTGACGGTCTTTGGGATTCCGGACAGCCTCGGCGCTGAACCGCAGCCCCATTTTCTGGGAGGGAGCCGCGCGGGAGCTGCCCACGGCGGCAGCCAGGAGGAGGAGGAGGGTGCGAGGCGTCTTCATCGTGAGCAAGATACGGCCTCACAGAGTCCCATATATACATGTAAGAGACGAGATGCCAGGAGAGCGTCTGGTTGCCAGTCTCGGGAACCCGCGCTTCCTTAAGTACACGGGCAGGTTTGCCATCTTGACACGCCTCTGCTCGCCGCCGGTACAGCTGCCTCTCGTGTAAAGACGTTGTTTCCTTGTCCCTTGATCCACGGTGCGTCCGAAGCCGTATCGTCTAGCGGCGAATACTAGCCCACATGTGGCAGCTGGCAGTACATCTCGAGGATCAACAGATGACCAGACGCAGCGTTACTAGAACAAGACTCGGGGACCGTGGTTCCAGACAACTATAACCGGCTGCGGTTGTATCGCTCGCTTCATCGGCATTTAGTCCGCCGTGCGGGCCAGCATGGGCGTGGGTTAGATGTGCCCAGTGGCGTTGATGTGCTGAGCGCCTTGACGGCGCTTTGTGCGTGGAGGCTCTGTGTAAATCCAAGCACGCTAGGTTTGCGGCTTTTGCGTCTGGTGGAACTGTTCAAGGGAGTCCAGCTACTTGCCGGCACTCGCAAGCGTGAGCAGCGAAGCATCTTGAGCCCGAGCAAGTGTCGTATCTGCCAGATGGGAGGAGAGCAAGAGAGACCATCACCAAGCGGAGGCCAGGGCCATCTGCCGCCAGTCGTATGGTCAACCTGGGTCGGTAGATGCGCAGACTTGCTAAACCGACTCGAACCCTGAGCAGACTCCCGACCAGGAGACAACTCATCAGGGGTCTTTTGCAAGTGCCGAGCCAGAGGGGCCGCTAGTGCTAGAGCAGGAGGCCATGGCCCTTTCGACCATCCGAGTCTCCGTCTCGCCGTCTCTGTCTCGCGAGTCACGAGTCACGAGCCATCGCTAATCCCTCCCAAGCCGAGAGAATCGCGTACGACCGTGTCAAGTCGGCTAGGGACGACACACACCCACGCAGCCCCCGATCCTCACATCAACCGCAACGACTAAACGTCTTGAATGTCACCAGACCGGGAATGGCAACTGCTCGCCATGGGAGACTGCACGGAAAACACTGTCGTTTGAATCCCACGTCTTGTTCCACTGTAGTGACCAGTCAAAGGAATTTTGATTATTCAAACTTTCGCCATCTTGTATAGAATCCAAATCTTGTAATCTCAACTCCAACATTCTGTCCATGCACAGTACGACATGGTACAACAATCGGCAATATACAATATTCTTTGCAAGTCGACTAAATACAATGCTTGCGGCAACCGTTCCGTGCTGCCGGCAGCACACAGCTGCGATTTTGCTACTCTGATATGCCAGTGACATCTGACGGACAACTTGATCAACGTGCATGACAAAACAGGGAACCGCACGCCTCGGGACATGCTGCAGGCAAACGCACTACAATCCAGCAAAGGCAATGAACAATGCCAGCCCAACAGCTGCAGCCGACAGTTGAGCTGAAGATCGAGACTGCCGGGCACCTTGTCCTGTGACGAGGCTTGAAGTTGGGTCACCGCAACTTGTGCAAGCCTCGCTGGGCGAGACGGCCACGCTGCTCGGAGGGGTTTCTGGCGCGTCTTCCGAGCCGGCCGTGGAAGTTGCCGGCCGAGCAGGCGGTACGAGGGTCTGGCTGCAGTCGGAGCATGTCTGTCCTGGAAGCGTTTGGTTTGCGGCGTCTGGCCGCGACTGGGCTGGAGTTGGCGCGGTGAGACTGGACGGACGCGACGAAGGCGGCAATGGCGTCGGTTCCCTCGTCGCGCAGTCCGTGCAGGAGCCGGCGGCAACTGCTTCTGACTGCGTGGTCAGGCGTGTCGTGGCCACGGCTTGTTCGGGCACCGTCGTTGGGGTGGTGCAACCTGTCTCTCCTTTGCCGCAAGGAAGAGGCAACGTGTACGTCGTGGCCGTCGTTCCGGCCGCGGTAGGATCGCCGCCACTTCCGCCGCCCGAATGTGCTGTCGCGTCCAACACCACGGTCGAGGTCAGGAGCTTGCCCAGCGGACAGTTTGTGACGGTTGGCTCGCAGGATGTTACGGTGAATGTCGAGGTCACGGTGACCCTGAGCAGGCGATCCGGCGGAGAGTTGGTGCCCAGGGACGGGGATTCAGGAGCGGCTGACGGCACGACAGTAAATAGACCGTCTTGGCCGAAGGACGCCGTGTGTTCTTCTTGCTTCCCAGACGTCTCTGCAAATCCTGTTGGGTCGTCTGCAGAAGATGATGTTTCGGTTGCAACTTCTGCTGCACCGCCTCTTGTCGGAGGTGCGACAAAAGCCAGCTCGCTCGCAGCTGTTCCGGTGGGCAATGCAGCGGCGTCGACAAATGATGTCTTCTGATCAGACTCTGGCACCTTGTTCGTGTTGCTGGATAAACTCGTCCTCGGGTCTGAAGATACCGCCATCTCCTCGGACATTGATGTGCGAGATTGGGCGCTTATAACCGAGCTTGAATATAGGATCGAACTGGTCCGAGTCTCGTATATCGTAATCCGTGACCGGGACGGAGTAGGATCTGTAATCAATGTGCCTGCCGTCGAGAGTGCGGAAGATTGCACAGCTTGAAGCTGCACAGATGGTGGATGTATTGAGAGTCCGGGCGTGGATGTGACAGCTGGCGTGAGCCAAAAAGTGTACAAGGGTGTTGGTGATGATGAAGCGACAGACGTGGCGGCATTCATGTCTGATGTTGCACTTGTTTGACTTGGCGCGCTCTCTTGGCCCGTCACAGTGGTTTGGCCCTGCGGCAACGTGGTTGGCGCTGTGGTTGGAACCATGGCTGAGAACGCGGTGCCAGATGTCATGGAGGTAGCTGAAGACGAGTTGGCCGACGACACGTACGGCGAGGAGTGAACAGACGGAACGATCTTGACGGTTCGTGTTGTCTTTACCTGAATCTTGAAACGCGTAGTTGAAGATGAAGCTAAAGGCGTAGTCGAAGGTGTGGCTGGGACAAGCACATAAGGCGACTTGGTCAACAACCTAGGTGGCGTCAAAGCGAAAGATAAAGTAATGTTGCTGCCCTGTGTTGTGTTTGTCTGAATCTCTATAGAGGTAGTTGAAGACAAAGCTGATGACGTAGTAGAGGATGAGACAAGCGCAGATGTAACAACGGATGGCGCAAGAGGCGGCAATGCTAAAGTTAATTCAAGATAGATTACTGTTCATAGCTTGTATTGTATTTGTCTGAATCCCTATAGAGGTAGTTAAAGACAAAGCTGAAGATATAGTAGAGGATGAGACAGTAGTAGAGGATGAGACAAGCGCAGATGTAACAACAGATGGCGCAAGAGGCGGCGATGCCAAAGTCAAAGATAGATTACTGTTTATAGCTTGTGTTATGTTTGTCTGAATCTCTATAGAGGTAGTTAAAGATAGATTACTGTTCATAGCTTGTATTGTATTTATCTGTATCCCTATAGAGGTAGTAAAAGATAGATTACTCTTCATAGCTTGTGTTGTGTTTGTCTGAATCTCTATAGAGGTAGTCAAAGATAGATTACTGTTCATGGCTCGCGTCGTGTTTGTCTGCATCTCCAAAGGCGTCGCAGTTGAAGGTGGAGCCCAAGACGTGGCAGACCATGAAAAAGGCACAGATGCGAGTGATGAGAACGCAGGCGGCAACTTGGTCGGCCTAGGCGACGCCAAAGTCAACGACAAATTACCGTTGATGCCTTGTGCTGAATTGGTCTGAATCGTTAAACGCGTAGTCAAACAGGTAGCCGAAGGCGCAGCGGGGCACGAGACAAGCGCAGATGTGACCGACGATAATACAAGCGACTACTTGGTAAACAGCCTAGGTGGTGCTAAAGTTGAACACGAAGTGGTGTTGCCTCGTGTCGTATTGGTCTGGACCTCGACAAGCGCAGTTGGAGACGTAGCCAGAGGCGTAGCCAACGACGTGGTAGAAGGCGAGACAAGCACAGACGGGACTGCAGACCCAAGTAGCGACCGAGTCATCCTGGGCAATGCTAAACTCGACAAGCAGTGTTAATGCCTTGTACTGCATTAGTCTACATCTCAAAAGACGCAGCCAGGGACGAACCCAGAGACGTAGTAGCGGCCGAGACGGGCGCAGACGCGACGGAGGACGACGACGGAGCCGCCGACACATTGGAGGACGCAGCGGTCGTCTTGACAATCGGCCTTGTGGTCGGCTGGACGGGTGACGACGCCGTCGACGCCTTGGCAGAAGTCACTCGAGGCGGACATTCGCCGTCCAAGACGGGGACGGCATTTTCTCCCCTGCCAATGGGGACGAGATGAGTGCCGCAGTCAGCGGCACTGGCGACGTAGACGTTCCGGTTGTCCATGTCGTAGACGGCGTAGGCGGCCCTGAGAAACGTGTCGCCCAGCACGAAGAAGGCTTCTCGACGCGTTAGCTTTGCCGTTTGCAGGGAATCCTCGCGGCCCGGGCCACTACTCACAGTCGTCTGGCGAGACTCCCAAGACGCATATGTTGTGCTGGGGCTGCTTCCACAGAAAATCGTCATACGGAACCCTGATGGTGGTGCTCCCAAACTGGAAGTCGACGGTGCCCGCGAGGCTCGCCGCCGCGCAGTCCACAATGTACTGCTTGGCGTCGTTTGGGTCTTGCCGCGCAGAGGGAAACGCCTTGAGAATCTCCGTCACCATGGATCGCGGCAAGTGCGTCAGCGTATTGCCGCTGTCGAGCAGAGCCCGCAGCGGCTCCGCGGTTTGGTCGAAGACGGGGATCCGAGACCCGTCTTCTCGGGACACGGACAGCCCGTCAAGAAAGATCCAGTAGCTTCGTCACGGTCAGCACTGGGGGTTCGGGAGAAGCGCCGCCTGAAGGGGGCTTACGCACCCAACGCTGCCGTTCGGCCCCGTGGTAACGGGTCTCTTCTCGAGAGGCCCCGTGTACTTCCTGGTGTCGATGCCGCCAAAGATGACCGCCCCGAGAGGGCTGTCGATGGGCCGAATATCAAGACTAAACGCGCGGCTCTGCATGTGCTTCTGGCTCACCAGCGAGTCGAGGACGTGGGGGAACGCAGACTCCCAGCCCTGGGCCGAAGGACCTGCGCCAAAGATGCCGTATGCGAACACCGAGGTGTCGTACGCCACGCCAAAGACTTGCTGGTCGAGTTTTGCCTCTGGTCGTGCCGTGGCTTAGCGAGCTTCCCATCCGTGTATTTGTATTTTCTCGTGTGCTTACCTCCAACGGCCACGTGGTCAGACACGTACTTGAACTTTGCGTAGCCAGCGCTATACCTGACCTCGCCCGTCAGGTTTGTGTCCACTAGTGTTGAAGACTGGGTGAATCTCGGGAGGCTCTCGCAGATTTCCTTCTCGGTCGAGTTGCTGCAGCTTGGGTTGACCCAAAGCTCCCAAGAGCCCGTGTCGAAGCTCACGGGAACAGCCTGCCCCGGCGTGCCAATGACGATGTCGATGGTGTAGAAGAAGCCCGTGCTTCGGCTGGCCAGACCGGCCGTATTCTGCCGGCGAACACGACGAGACGCGCCCCTGGGGGCTTCGGATACCGTGATGGGGAAACGGATCAGGCCGGGCTGCTGGACGACGCGGCGCTGACGGCTGTGCGTGGATGAGAGCGACGATATCACCGACGGCAGCGCCGCGAGTACCATCAAAACTGGAAGCATCTCTGTGTCGTTTTCGGAGCAAACAACCCGCCTCGGCCAAGAAATTGAGAAAAATACGAAAATGAAAAAAAAAAAATGAAAAAAAAATGACGAGAAATCTCCAGCATAAAAAGTCATAGACATGTCCGTGACGACGATACAGTCTTGCCCACTTGTGCCCGATGGCTCGGACCCTTGACTTGATACCTCTCGCTCCTGCTGTCGGTCGGAGCAATAACTATTACTTTCAATGGTTCGGCCATGAAACAGGTCAACGCCAAGTTTCACCAAGGACCTCGGTCGTTCTCCCCGCCTCACCGCAACGCCAAGATATCACTGCATGGTCCACGATCGGTCGAGAGCCCACGTCTCCCGCGCCCGTTCGCACGACTCTTCCGCGCTCGAATCTTGCCCCTACTGCTCGTCTGGCCAGTGGCCAGCAGGTATCTACACCAAGCAGCATGACTCTGTGTGACTTGCTTGCAGCTTGACGGGCGGGACATGGTGAGCCATTTACCCAGAGCAACGGACTGGGCTCATTGTTCGTCGACGACGACCACCCAGGGCCCGGGGGACAAAGCGACTGACGTTACTCCGTGCCCATGGCGAGTCAAGAAGCTAGAGAGCCGCCTGCGAGCGCACACGTATACAGACGGCCCACTGGGTGGCCTCGTTCCGTGGCTTTGACTCGTCAGGGTCTGTGAACGCATATACTAGCCAGGGGGAGGGGTACAGTCGCACATTAGCTTGCATCTGCAAACGCTGCCACTACAATTTTCCGATTTTCTAATTTTTAGGATTTTTAAAAGTATAAAGTTATATAGAAAAAATTCCTTCTACCTTAATATATAAATTAAACTTTATACTATAATTATTCTAGATTTATATTAAAACTAGTTCTATATTATTTCTAAATTATTTCTAAATTATTTCTAGATTATTTTAAAATTAATTTTAAATTAATTCTAAATTATTTCCTACTTTAATATACTAAAACTATATAGATAGCTTAAAAGTCTTAGAGAGACTATTTAATAATTTCTTTAGTATAGTATATTTTATAGAGATATTTTATCTTAAGTTAATAAGCTTCTTAATAAATAAAATAAAAATACTATTAGCCTTTAAATATTATAATACTAGCTTTTAGCTTAGAGGCTTTTAAGTATTTCTAGAGTATATATAAAAAGCTTAAAGCCTTTATATAAAGAGATTTTAAAACTATTTATATAAAAAATTAGTAGAATTATATAAAAAGATATATTTAAATAAAGTAAAAGTAAATTTAAATTCTTTCTAAAGTAATTTAATTTCTTAAAAAGAACTTAAAGTAAATATTAGTAATTTATAAATTTAGTTATAAATATCTTTACTACTATATATAATAAAAAGTATAAGTACTAATTTTATAAAATTAGCTTTATAACTTTTATTAAACTATTTTTCTAGAGAAAGTTTAATACTAAAGAGAAAGTAATATATAGTATTATATTAACTTTTAAGTACTTAAGCTAAATTTTTTATAGTACTTAAATAAATATAAGAAACTTAAGAAATATAGTATTTAAATATATATATATATTAATATATACTTATACTATATTATTTAGTTTTACTATAGTTACTTTACTATAACTATACTAAGTATACTTAAGTAGTATTTATTTATAGTTTAATACCTTAAAATATAGCTATTCTTTATAAAATTAAATTATAGTATTAAGACTTCTTTATAAGTAGTAATATAAGTAATACTAGTATTTACTAAAACTAGTTTAGTTTCTTATTATAATATAAATAGAAATTAGTTTTTACTTATATAAAGAGATTAAATTACTTTATACTATATATATAGTTCTAGTAAATAAAACATTAGAATTAAAAGCTAGTAGTATTACCTCTATATAAGTACTTCTAACTAATAAATATCTTTCTTCTATAAATTAGCTAAGTATACTTTATTTATTAAAGGCAATATTAAAGACTAAATTACTCTTTATATAGTATATATACTTTTTATTTAAGATAAGTTTGCTAACTTTATTACTTTATAAAATAGCTATAAAATTTATATATAAAGAAATTATTAGTATATTAAATCTAGAATTTCTATAGACTTATATTATATATAAAATACTTTAAACTAAAGTATTCTACTAAGTTCTAATAATAATATAGCTAATTAATAAGCTCTATATAATATACTTATACTACTTTATAGAATTAATATTAAATTATTTCTTACTAAAATTATAAATAAATAGTATATAAAATAGCTAGAAGAGTTAAAATATTTTAATTATAAACTAGTAATTATACTTAGC